AGGAGGGCACATTCTGCATGGAGCACTGGGTGTTGTGCACAAACAATGAATCATGGAACACTTCATCTAAAACTAATGTTGTAATGTAAGGGGATTAACATAAGAATAAAAAAATTAAATAAAAAAAAAAAAAAAAAAAAAAAAAAAAAAAAGAATCGTCTGTTAGAGTTTTTATTTAATTCTGGATTCCCCTCACATCCTGGTTGTCTAGTTAGTTATTCTTCAGGTACAGCCTCAGAACTATATAAAAAGATGTACTCAGAGAAGTGACACTTCCTTCTGTTCCTTCTGTCCCATTCCCGCACTCTCTACCCTGCTCCCAGTGGCTTCTTACAGGTAATCACACCCATTCATTTCTGGTTTGTCCTTCCTATGTGTACACGTGTGTGCTTTATACAAACAAGCAGATACTTGTATACTTGTCTCCCCTTCTTTCTTGAATGAAAGAGAGGATACAATAGATGTTTACTTGCCCTTTGCTCTTTTCATTTACCAGCATATCCCAGTTTGCAGAAAAGAGTTAACACAGCAGGCCTGTTATCCATAGAAAGGCCTGCTTGCAAGGGTTGCCTTCGCTCATCTGGGAACTTATATTTGGGAGAGTTTCCAACATTCCCTAATGATAAGAGTGGCTCAGTGCATCCATATGACAATGGGTATATGTTGGAACACCTGCTTTCCTTCTGGAAATCTGGAATTTTGGTATGTGCCAGGCAGAAGATCCCTGTGTGACCAGCACCCAGTAAAAACCCTGGGTTCTAAAAAGCTTCCGTGGTAGGCCACATTTCACATGTGTTGTCACAGTTTGTTCCTGGAGAAGTATGTGTATGTATGTGACTACAGTGGGAGAGGACTCTTGGAAGGTGGCACCTGAGATCTTCTGGACTCTGCACCATTCTTCCCCTTTGCTGACTGCTTTATATCCTTTGTTACAATTAATCTTAGCTACAAATATGACCATGTGCTGAGTCCTGTGAGTTCCAGGGAATCCCCAAACCTGTAGGTAGTCTTGGGGAGCCATGACACACCTGGAAATCACGCCATATCGGTACATGGAAATCCTCCTCAATTCTTTATTACAGGTGCATAGTGTTCCATGTATAGATGTACCATACACTATGGTTTATTGAACCTTTCTCCTATATGTGGACATTTAGGTTGCTTCCAACATTTTGCAATGCTGCAAACAGTAACTTTGAGTATGTGTATTTCTATAATTTGGAGGTATATATTCAGGGTAGATTCCTAGAATTGAGAATGTTAGGTCAACAGGTCAGAGCATATGCTTTCTGGTTAGGTGCAGCCAAATTCCTCTTCTGAAAGGTGTTATCAGTATGCATTCCCACCAGCAACCTGTGAGAACACCTTTTTCCTCACAGCCTTGCCAAGCAGATATGTTGTTATAATTTTTCATTTTCTCCAGTCTAATAGGTAAAAAGTGGTATTTCAACTGTTTAAAATTACATTTCTCTAATTATAAGTGAGGTTGACCATCTCTTCATGTGTTTAAGAACAAGCACACGAACACACACACGTACACAAATGAATCATCTATTCAAGTCTTTCCTTCATTTTTCTATTGGGTTTTCCATTCCTCACTCTAAGAGTTCTTTATATATTAGTGGGGTGCTTGGCTGGCTTGGTCAATAGAGCATATGACTCTTGATCTCAGGGTTGTAAATTCGAACCGCACACTGGGCATAGCGATTACTTAAAAATAAAATCTTAAGGGGCGCCTGGGTGGCTCAGACATTAAGCGTCTGCCTTCAGCTCAGGTCACGATCCCAGGGTCCTGGGATCAAGCCCCGCATCGGGCTCCCTGCTCAGCAGGAAGCCTGCTTCTCCCTCTCCCACTCCCCCTGCTTGTGTTCCCTCTCTCGCTGTGTCTCTCTCTGTCAAATAAATAAATCTTAAAAAAAAAAAAAAAGAGTTCTTTATGGGGTGCCTGGGTGGTTCAGTTGGTTAAGTGTCTGCCTTTGGCTCAGGTCATGATCCCAGGGTCCTGGGATTGAGCCCCGCACTGGGCTCCCTGCTCAGCAGGGAGCCTGTTTCTTCCTCTCTCTCTCATATAAATAAAACCTTTTTTAAAAAAGAGAGAGTGCTTTATATATTAGAGAGATAAGTCCTTTATCTGTGATATATATTGCAAAATGTTCTCCTAATTCATCAATCGTGTTTAATTCATCAATTGTGTTTTGTCTGTTTGTGGTGTTTTGCCAATCTAGCAAGAATTCTTATATTGATGTCCAAGGATGTCCGGGCTCTGCAAACCTTCTGAAATAGTAGTCTGCTTTTCTGAGAGATCTGCAGCATTCATTCAGATTTTCAAAGGGTCCTGTGACCTGAGAATGACTGAGCTATCACTAAGTCTTTTACGGAGCCTGTGCCCAATAGAACCACTTCTGCTTGACAGCTTTCCTAATTCTTGAAGGCTTCTCTTGATTCTTCTTTCATAGGACACACCCAAGCAATTGGCCTCTAATGGTGTATTTTTAGATTTTGTCATTAGTGTGAATTCTTTATCATGAGTGCATTTCTGGTTTTCTATACTCTTCCTACACCTGATACATGTGACACCAGGCTCAGCATGGGGAGGAGAGGACAGGATCCACTTTGGCCAGTGACCCCAACCCTGACACATTCCTTGCTTTCCCTCTGTCCTCCCCACCACAGGGGCCTCTTGAGCTTATCTGAGTGCTGGGGTGGGGAGAGGGGCCTGTTAGTGTGATATTCTAACTATAGACTAACCAACACACAACAGAATATAACTGCTACTTCTCAGTCCAGGTAACACATTTCTGTTCATGTACATTTAAGAGCAAATTGGCTTTTCTTGGTGGCTATCCCACAAAGTTAATTCTAATTGACTAGCTAAAGCCTATAGCTCTTTTGTTTCTCCAAAAGTACTTCTACTTTTTTTTTCACTTATGAAGTTCACTTTTTGGAACCAAGTAAAAAAAATCTTACATTTGTATCTATTAAACTTCATTTTGCTTTACAAAACTCAAAATAGGGGGCGCCTGGGTGGCTCAGTCAGTTAAGTGGCTGCCTTCGGCTCAGGTCATGATCCCAGGGTCCTGGGATCGAGCCCCGCATATGGCTCCCTGCTCCGCGGGAAGCCTGCTTCTCCCTCTCCCACTCCCCCTGCTTGTGTTCCCTCTCTCGCTGTGTCTCTCTCTGTCAAATAAATAAAATCTTTAATTAAAAAAAAAACAAAAACCTCAAAATAGTCTTTATCTCTGGTGGAGCTGGGAGGAAGAAAGGGACAGTAATTTTCTAGATCTTAGGTTGGGAGGCATATATATATATATATATGTACTGTATTCATTATGTACTTCATAATTTATGTATATGTACTTTTTATTTTATACCAAATATTACATGAAGATTTAGGTAAATTACAGATAATTTTCATCTTGTTAGACCGAGCCCACCATATCAAGAAGTAAGAAATTTTTAGATCCTGAATCTGTTACCTCATTTATTTTTTTTTATTTTTTATTTATTTATTTATTTATTTATTTATTTATTTATTTATTTATTTATTTAAAGATTTTATTTATTTATTTGAGAGAGAGAGTGAGAGAGAGAAAGAGCACAAGAGGGGGGAGCGGGGGAGGGAGAAGCAGACTCCCTGCCGAGCAGGGAGCCCGATGCGGGACTCGATCCCGGGACTCCAGGATCATGACCTAAGCCGAAGGCAGTCGCCCAACCAACTGAGCCACCCAGGCGCCCCCCTCATTTATATTTTTAAGGGTAGGTTATCATAGCATAAAATCTGATATGTTACTTAATTACTGCTATCTAAAGATTCACCTATTCCTAACTACGGTCAATGTATGAAACCTATTAACAACAATCAATTTTGCCCTGTAACCTGTGTAAACAAATGACATATTTATATAGTGGGAAATGGAGCTTAGCCCAGAAAGCCCAGGGAATATGAATTTATTTGTGGGTCTAGAGCGGGGGTTGGCAAACTATAACCCATGGGCCAGCACCTGTGTTTATAAAAAAGGTTTACTGATATACAGCCACACTCATTCATTTATGTATTGTCTATGCCTGCTTTCATGCTACAAGGGCAGAGCTGAGTAGTTCTGACAGAGACCCTATGGCCTACAAAGTCTAAAATGGCCCTGTACAGAAAAAAGTTTGCTGAACCCTGGTCTAAGGCACCATCCAGAGGAGAAAGTAAGTTTTCTAGTGTACTTGGCAGGTATTTTCCTTTAGGAGTCTAGGTTCCTCAGGCTATCACAGCTCACTGATCATTAGTTTTACCTACCTGAACCCTATTACTCTAATTTCACACTTACAGAGAGAGATTTCACTTTCCATGTAGGCTTGCCTACAGGGAGAAGACATACTGATCAGCCAGTGTGACCATTCCTACAAAGTAATGATTCCACTTTTCACTGTGAATTAAAGAACTGGCTTTCTGATTTATAGTCTCTCATGAAGTAGATTAGCATGGGTCAGTCCTTTGGAGACGATAACCTCTGATATACCAAAAAATAAAAGTCAAGTTTCTGGACCTGCAAAGCTAAGGACCAGCTCCTGAAATATGGAGACCCCTCTAGGGTATCCATCCTATGAAGCCCTACCTGGGTCAGCAGAGTCCCTCAAGAGATATTTCTGTGACATATCCCTCCATCCTACTTGTGATGCTACCAAAACTTAAGGAATGAGTGCCCATCATTTCTCAAAATCAGATGCAGAAATATCACATGACTACCATAAGACTCAACATTCCACATACAGTAGCTGCTTCTGAGAAGTGACACTTTTTCATTAGATAAGCACTTCCTCTCTTCAAGTGTCTGATGTGACACAAATGTTTTAAAAAATCATCAAAAGAAAGTTAACATCAAACTCAACATTTTCGAAATGTTTCAAGAACAAATCATAAGCTACCTGTCAGCATCTGTACTTTATCATGTGAAGTGTTACTCTGGAAAGCTGTCATTCACACTCATCTGAATTGAGATCTCATGCCTTACCTGACTTGGGCTGATCTTTTCTTCAGTAGCTGTGGAATGTTGATGTGGGTCTTCCTTTGCTCCCTCACAGGGGTCTCTTACAATTTCCGCCTGGTCCCCTTGATCTCTGAAGACCTTTAGCTCCATGCTCTTGGTTTTCTCTTCCCTATCCAAGATCCCAGAAGCCACAGAACCTCCTGCTGTGGAGTCCACCAGCCCACACCGCCCAGGCTCACCCCCATGATCCAAGGCGCCAGAAGTTTCTTCACAAAAACTTTCCGCACGAGTCCTCTGCAGCTCCAAGGGCACTGCCCTACTCTGACTTATAAGAGAGCTTGAGGCTCCAGGTTTTACATCTGGAATCACACTTGGCTCAGGGTCAGCATGAAGCTCTTTGGAGACACTCACAGGGAGTTCAGAGTATAATTCCTGTACCACGGCAGACATGGAGGAATCAAGTGGAACTGGCTGAGTCTCTACTCCGGATGACAGCATTAGGGCAGATGGAAGATTATGGAGTCAAGTCTTTTACATCAAATGGTTCACCCTGACACAAATCAAAGGAAGGGATAAAAGTTTAAAACCTTGCAGGGTAGAAGAAAGCTGTTTCAGCTAAAACTGGCTAAAATAAGGACAAAAAATTCCACCTCAATTGCTGACAACAATCTGGCACCAAAACATCCTCCTTAAAGACTGTGAATTAGTGGAAAAATAAATACCTTAAACCTTTAATAGACATCTGTCTAATCTCAATTCAAATACTGCCTTATGAACAATTCTCAATTTAAACCTGGAGGGCCAGCAAATGTAGATGAGAATAAGACATGTCTGAGCATCCAAGGATAGAAATGATGTAAATTAGAAGATAAAGATGATTTTCTACTTGTTTTCAGGGCATGAACCTTGCCTGTTTTGTTCATTGCTGTTATCCCCACTGCCTGGGAGAGGCGCTCGGCACATAGAAGGTACTCAGTAAATACTTGTGGAATAAACATATACTGAGGGATTCTGAGGAATTTGATATACTGACTTTTCCTCAAGAATAATTCTCTATGGGGGCGCCTGGGTGGCTCAGTTGGTTAAACGACTGCCTTCGGCTCAGGTCATGATCCTGGAGTCCCGGAATCGAGTCCCGCATCGGGCTCCCTGCTCGGCAGGGAGTCTGCTTCTCCCTCTGACCCTCCTCCCTCTCATGCTCTCTGTCTCTCATTCTCTCTCTCTCTCAAATAAATAAAATCTTAAAAAAAAAAAAAAAAGAATAATTCTCTATGCAAGTTTAGAGACAACAGAATTCCATTCCTTTACTGCTTACCAAACACTTGAGCTGTGTCTACCCAGACTGGCACAAGACACTACTAAACCAGACCTTCAGCAGAATCCTCTCTTTTATTCAGTTTCCAAGTGCCTTCACAGACACAACTAATTTGATTCTCGCAACCCTGTGAGCAAAGTAGAGCAGCTATCACCATCCCGTTATAGATCCTAACATCACACTGAAGAGGTAAAAATGACCTGCCTAAAACATTACAGGGTTATCTGAGGGGGTGGGGTGGGGGGGGATACCCAAGGGGCTTCCAGTGTTGGGAATGTTCCACCTCTTGCACTGGATAGTGGAAACATGAGTTATTTGCTAAAATATGTATATTTGTTTAGTTCATAAAACTACATTATTAAAGTTAAAACATACACACACACACACACACACACACAGCTAGGGAATGGTACACTTGGAACTAGGGTTTCCTGATTGGTAACCTTTCCATTTTAGCCTACCAAATGTGTGCAGTTTCCACAACAAAATCCACTTTGACCTAACCAAGGTGGAAACTGGTTAACCAAATAAGATACTACTTGCTTTCATTCTTGATGCTTTCCCTAATCCTAATAAAAGGAGAGAAAAGGTGAGAATTTTCTAGCAACTGAGTTTGTAACAAGGATTTACCTGAGGTATTGATGGCAAATCCCTTTGGCCAAAATACACACAGGAAAGGACAGTTCAGAAAGCCAGCAGATTTCTACTCCTACCACTTTCTAACATCCATCTTTTCCCAAAATAAACATACTACATACAAGCAAAATCCATTGTTGGCTACCCAACTGTTTTGACTATTGAGTTGTCTCACCTTTTCTCCACTGATCACATTCAGATTTCTGAGCAGGAGGGACTCTCCAATACACCATGTAAATCTTTACAATTCAGTTTCCTTGGACGCTGCGTTGGTGGTATAGTGGTGAGCATAGCTGCCTTCCAGTTTCCTTGGACCCTGTCTCTATTCCTGCCCTGATTTTCTGGGGGGGAGCCCATACGTCACTTATACAAAAGGCACTTGCTCTACCTCCAGGTCAAGAAGCACCTGCTCCTTGATTATTCATGGGTTTACAACCTTTCCTCCTTGCACAGAAGATCCCATCCATTGACATGTGCTATCAAGACTGAAGCTGGGGGCTGAGGCGGGACAGATGACAGGTCCTTTCACTTTGGACCATTCTGCCTTTCTTCTGGTTTTCCAACCTGTGGTGGGTAGTTTACTTACGCACATTCCTATGCTTTCAAACTGGGTGTCCTTAATGTTTTGAAGGACTCTTCCCCAAAGGTAAAAGTATATAACATGACAGTACTAATTTAAATACTAGAAATTATAGGAAATCAGACTGTTGGTCCATTAAGTTTAGAGAACACAGGAAAGCTGATGAAAAAATCTGGATCCAAAAAAGCAGCAAGGAGAGAGAAACTGTTGTGTCCAGAAGTATGGTGAGAATCAAATGAGACACTTTCATAAATGGTGCTGACAAAAACGTATCCTTTCTGGAGCTACAATCTTCCCCTTTCTCCTCTAGTTCCTGGATATTTTTAGAGGCACTTTAGATTTTAGGCCACTTAGTGTCTGTGTGTGCATGTGGGGGTTAACAGCTAAAGTAGAATTACTATTGGATGCCAAAAAAGGGGAGGAGGTCCTCATTTTCATTTGGTTCAGTTTCCCTTTCCCAACAACAGATACAATCCAGTTTTTGGTTATCACACCACATACAGACCAGAAGAGTAAGTGCAGGAAAGGATACTGTAGAAGAGCAGGTTTGTTGATGGAGATCAGCTCCCTGGATCTCTTGCCACCACATGCTCAAGAGCTCCTCTCCCTTACCTGCCACTAAGGTATGAGTGTTCTCAAAAGTTTAATCCTTGACACGCCTCCCAGGCTTCACTTTTCAGATGATCTCATCGTTTTTGCAGTCTTTATATGTGGATGACTCAAAACTGTCCCTTTAAGTATAGGTGACCACACGAGCCAACAATTCCACTCCTAGGTATATATGCACAAAAACTAGTACACAAATGTTCAGAGCAGCACTATTCACAATAGCCAAAAAATGGAAACAGCTTATAAGGCCATCAACCGATGAATGGATAAACAATGCGGTACATCCGTACAATGGAATATCACTTGGCTGTAAAAAGGAAGGAAATACTGATTTGTGATAAAACATGGATGAACCTTGAAGATATTATGGTAAGTAAAACACACCAGTTACAAGGAACCATATAAGTTCTCATATATATAAAATAGCCAGAATAGGCAAATCTATGGAGTTGGGAAGTGAATTAGCGGTTCCTTAGTGAGAGCTGGAAAAACTGGAAGTGACTGCTAACAGAGTTTCTTTTGGGGGCAATAAAAATGTCCTAATATTGATTGTGGTGATGGTTACACAACTCTGTGACTATGCTAAAAACCACTAAATTGTACAATTTAAGTTGGTGAATTGTATGATATGCAAATTATATCTGAAAGCTGATTTAAAACAAAAACACCTGTCCCAGCCCCCATCTTTTCTCAAATTCCTGACCTATGTTTCATTTATAAGGGTGGTACCCCTCCCAAACTTCACATGTCTAAGATAGAACCCATTCAACCCAATGAATAATTGAGTCTTACTACATATAAACAGCTATTTGAGTAACGAAGATGAGTAAGATGTTCTCAGTAAACTTACATGTTTATTTTTTATCCTGTTGCCTCTCTCAGTAACAACACCCCCATTATTCTAGAGCTCAGACTTGAACCCCCAGAAACAACTACATCTGACCTTCCACCTGTTGTTCCATTAGCACTTGTAGCCCACGTACTCAACTCCCGCGGTGTCTCTAACAAATCCCACTCCTTTCCATCCCCATGGCCTTAATTCAAGATTTGTTCTAAACACAGGATCATGCACAAACACACATTTACTAAACAGATCTGCATCATGAAGAGGCAATATTAATAATCACATAGACTGGTTCCAGATATTCTTCAAGGAAAACAGTGCCGTTACATTTCTTATGCATGCCTCTGTGCTGTAAACTGGCATCGGTCAAAACAGATTTTTAAAGCTTTGGTTCCCCCCAAATAACTTCTAATTTTCAAAAGCCAAACACCTCTTGAATCTTCTATTTCGTAAAAATATAATTCTAAGAACTTTCAACCTGTAAAACAACTAAGCACATTGGCTGTTGAAACAAAACAGACTTCTCTCCTTTTCTCCTTGCCCCATCCTGGGTCCTCGAGTTTCTGAGCAGTATCTGCAGTTGAGTCACCCAGAACAGGGAGTACCTCGGCTGGAACCATCAGAGTTGAAGTAATATTTAGATGTAAGTCTAGAGCAGCAGATTAAAATTATTCTCAGCTCACTAGCTTGCACCACCAAACTCTTATTTTAGCCATCTATCAAAATATTGGTAATGGGGGCGCCTGGGTGGCTCACTCGTTAAGCGTCTGCCTTCGGCTCAGGTCATGATCCCAAGGTCCTGGGATCAAGTCCCACATCGGGCTCCCTGCTCGGCGGGAAGCCTGCTTCTCCCTCTCCCACTCCCCCTGCCTGTGTCCCCTCTCTCGCTGTGTCTCTCTCTGTCAAATAAATAAATAAAATCTTAAAAAAAAAAATATTGGTAATGTTACAGACTGCAGGAACAGAACAAAATTTTAACAAGACATTCAAGTTCTTTAAATTTCTAAATACACTGGACCAATTAAAATGATGGTGTAGAGAAACATAACTCTACAAAGAAGGCTGCCTGGGATAGTTCATCAAACTAAACATCAAAACTCTTTAATTTTGGTAAAATATGAACATAGGAAAACTGTTTGAAAGAATGTAATCCAAATATTAACAGTATTACCCTGAGTGAGAAGATCACAAACAACTTATACGTTGTTACTTTTTTTTTTACAGTAAATATGTATTTCTTCTGTTAAAACATTTTAAAAAATATTTTCCCAAGATCCAAATAGGAATAAAGAATAACTGGTAAGTGTATTAGCCCTTTATTTTTATCAGTATCTTTCCAAATGTCAGCTCTCTGCCTCAACCATAAAAATTTTTACATTAAAGCGTTAAGTAAACTTGAAGAGAAAACAGTGAGTTACATATGCTCATAAAATGAAGACAGGGATTTATAGCTTAATCCTTACTAATGACTTATAACCAACCTACTGGGTGAGCACAGTGGATAAATATCTAGTTTGAGGTATAAGCAAAAAATAAATCATAGATTCACAAACAACTCTTACAACTGCTACTGGCTTGTCATCTTTACCATGACACAAATGAGAATTAGATTGTTTAGGAAATGGACTTATCCCTGAAAAAAGACCCATATTTGTACGGAGTATGCAGTAAAGTTATCCCAATAAAAGAAGAAATTCTTTTGAATTGAGAACAATCATCTCAAAACCTTTCTATGTCAAATCCAACAGCGGTGCTGGGAAGCAATCTAGTTGCTAGTCTCCGAATTGAGAGACCAGGGTCCCTATCCTGCTGGCTGTTATGGCCTTGAATGTGTCACTTAACTTTCCTGGGCTTGTTTTTCACATGTAAAAAGAACAAGTTAAACAAAATAATCTCAAAGGGTCCTGCCGCCCATAAACATCCCATGACCCTAAATGATAACTTTTCGGGGCGCCTGGGTGGGACTTTGTTAAGTGTCTGCCTTCAGCTCAGGTCATGATCCCAGGGTCCTGGGATCAAGCCCTGCATCAGGCTCCCTGCTCAGCAGGAAGCCTCCTTCTCCCTCTCCCACTCCCCCTGCTGTGTTCTCTCTCTCGCTGTGTCTCTCTCTGTTAAATAAACGTTTTAAAAAAAAATTTAAAAAATGGTAACTTTTTTATTTCTCTTTGTTTCTCAAAGTACATCTATAGATACCAATAATGGTGGTAGAGTTCCAACTAAGCCCCACTGCAGACACTCAGGGCATAGGAGGTAATTTAAGAACACTTTATACACAAAAAAGATGGAAAGCTTTTTCTTAGTGGCAGTGTTAATTCCTATCCTACCAAATAACAAAAACATGAAAAAAAGAAAATATAGTGCTGCAGTTCTCAATCTCATTAGAATACATTTTATAATACTACAAATTTGACAAAGTGGCCCTTTCAGCTTAGTAGTTCAAGCACTCCCTAAAACAAAAGTTCTGGGGGTACAAAGTTTACAGCAATGAGTAAAATGTAGAAAAAAGAATCAAACAAAGAAAACAGCAGAACAGAAAACCATGTGCCCAATAATCCCCAGTCTGAAGGTCTTTAATTCCAAAGCAAAAGGGCTGCTCAAAATGAAGAACAGTTAGTAACACCGGGTGCTGCCACACTTGTGTCAAGGGACAATACTCACAAAATCGATCAGGCCCTCAGAAGTTCACAACACTCCTTTCACCTTGAGAAAGGGGCTTTCTTTTCCAAGATTCGGACACTGTAGCCAATGCCTCCATGAGGGCATTCGGAGAAGGGGCCTCTTCTTGAGGGACAGAGAAAGAAGAATCTTTTAACAAGATCTCTAGACAAACAGAAAGTCGGGTAGGGAAGTCTATATACTAAACAGGGCCCAGCTCTTCAACATGGAGTGTGCAGGAAATCTCAAAAGCATCAAGCACTGTTTCCTTTTTCCTTCCTTTATTAGCATGCAGAAAAAGGATCCCTCTGTCTCCACATGGGGAGTGAAACAGCGAAAATGCTCCTGATTTCTGACAAAGGCTTTCTGCATAAAAGATTTTCATTTCTTTTTCAAAGGAAGAAGAGAAGGAAGCCATCTGTGCCACTCTAAATACACGGCAGGAAAGAGTCCTCCTCTCAAAGGTACAGAGCCTTATTTTTCTTGGGAGAGAAAAAAAGAAGTTGGAAGCTCCCTCTTTGAGGAGGGGGAGGTGTGCAGATAGCAGGAAGCTTTTTAATCACTACAGCAGGTAGGGGGAGTGGGAGAGGATATCTCTAACCAGTCAGGAAGAAGTGATAGCTTCTGTGGACAAAGGGAAGGCTGGCTTTTAGTATCAGCCCTCCCTCCCTCTTGGACTATAGACCTGTTTCCAAAAACAAAGTCTTTTCTCTTGATCATTCTGAGGCCCTCTTTTGTTAATTTGGGGAGCATGGAAGAATCTAAAGGGAGTAAATATGCCTTTCTCCACCCCAGGGTGGGTAAAAGTCTCCTTTCCAGTGAGAAAGGATGGGTTGAACACCTGTGATGTGGGGGTGGGGATGGGAGGAGGCATGCATGGAAAAATGTGGGTCTCTATGGAAGATAACTAGTTTTCTTTCTTTAAAAACAACAAAAACAGCAGCAGCAAATTAAGTAACAATGACAGCAACAATTTACCAAAAGCTTACTAATGTCCTAAGCACTTACACAAATTCTCCCTTAGCCCTCAAGACAATGCTCTACAAAGAGGACCCAAATTAGAGATGGGCTAATTGAGACTCAGAAAGGTTAAACAACTAACCAAGGTCACGAAGATGGGAAGTGGGAGACAGACTTGCAACTACCACATTCCAGACGCCATGCTCTTAACTGTGCAAGGGAAAGGAGCTCATTGCACACCAAGAGACTTGAGGGAAGAGAAGCGAGGCTCCGTCGGTGGACATGATTGGGGGTGGGGGGGGAAGAGACTGACTTCTAATACCACACAGAAAATTCAGGGTCTTCCTCTTTATATCTAGGGGTAAAGGTGAAAAATAAAAGAAAGAAGGTAAGTCTCTCTTTTACAGGAAAGGAAGACCCCCCCCCAACACTTTTGGGCAAGTTGAGTCTCGCTCTTCATCTGGGGAGCGCTGAGCAAATCGGGGGAAAGGTCTTGTTGAGGGGCTATCTACTACCCCTCCTATTGAAATAAGTTTAGAATCGCCCTCTCACACCCCGGGAGCGGGTATCGCGCCGCTGACAAACGCACAGGAGCTGGGGAAGAGCGTACGCCCACAACAAGGGGCGTCGCCCTCCTCAAGAAGTTGGGGGTCCCCCGCCGTATCGAGGTTGAAGAGTATCTCTCCCCCGTCGGAGCCATGACTTGGAGAAGCCGTTTCCCCCTCGCGACGCGGGGCCTGGTCTCCTCCCTCTCCCCCGGTCGTTCCGCCGCCCGCAGAGCAGCCTCCGTTCCCTTCAGCGCCCCAAGAGGGAGGGAGCCCCGGGCTCCCCCTCACCCTTCAACGCCAGGCGGAGGGTCCCCTCAGGGTGGAGTGGGGCGGGGCGGCTGCGCCCGAAGCCTTCCCGCCCCCGGCCTCTTACCCCGAGGCCTGCTCCGCGGCCAGCGCTCGCCCCGCCAGCTCGGCCTTTGCAGCCGCAGCCCCGTCGCCGCCAAAGCTACCTGAGCCTACCGAGCCGAGAGAGCCCGGGGGCGCTCCAGCCGCCACCTCCTCTTCGTCTCTATGGTTTTCTTCCTCCTCGAGCCCCCCCCACCCCCACCCGCACTTCCTCATCCGGGGCCCGAGCCAGCCATGCGGGCTCACCCAAGTCCCGCCCCCGCATGGCGCGCGCGCAATCCTAGGGGCGGCCCTTCCCGCGTCCAGCCTCCGGCCCTGGGCGGGCCCTAGCAGCCCTCTGCCCCGCCCCCGCGGTCCGGATTCTTAAAGGGGAACACACGTTTTGCCCCAGCACTTATTGAACCATAGGGCCCATTGTCTCCACTGCTGCTACCCTGGTCCAGTCCACTATTTTCCTGGCCCGAATGGCTGCAATTCTAGGGGACTCTCTCTGGCAGCCCAGGAGATATTTTTATAATTTGAATCAGTGTGTTAGGTCCTGTCAGTGCCCTGCTCCTTTTAATCACACTGACCACTAAATCTTAAAGGCACCTCTGCCTCCAGTCCTGAAAGGCATCTTGTTTTAATATCTTCAAGGCTTAAACACTGGCTGAAATTGTCACGTTGCATCTATTTATTGATTAGTTCATCATATGTCCCTTCCCATGCTTGTTCATCATTCTGTGGTCAGCACCTAGCGTGGTGTTGGGCACAAGTAAACATTCAACAGACATTTGAAGGAAGGAAACAAGGTTTATTCAAAAGGGAATCAAAAGAGCACCTGGGTGGCTCAGGCGGTTAAGTGTGCAACTTTCGATTTTGGCTCAGGTCATGATCTCAGGGTCCTGGGATTGAGACTGTGTTGCGCCCCATTTGGGGCTCTGTGCTTGGTGGGGAATCTGCTTGAGATTCTCTCTCCCTTTCCCTCTGCCCCTTCCTCCTGCTTGCATGCACTCTCTTTCAGATAAATATTTAAAAAGGGGGGGGTGTGAATTAAGGAAGTTCAGAGAATAGAGTCAACTTGATCCAAATCACACAGCCTTGTATTAAACACAGAAATCTGTTGCTTTTTGGACCTTATCAATCTGGCAGACTATAGAACTAGAGGTTTGGAGGTTTATGGGAGATTTTAATTCTCTCTTCTCTGATCAGGATATCTTTGAGCCAGTCAACATGTGAACCATTTTGGCCAAGATAGTGGTTTTCCCACTCAGGGCGGGAGGTATATAAACCCAAATGCCAGCCCTATTATTCTACAGCCTGTGAATGCATAGATCATCTGTATATGTGTACAATTCATACATAGGCTACTACAGATGGTACTGGGATGATTTAACTAGAAATTCACTTTAAAACATTTCTACATTTACAGTGTCCACATTGTCCAGTTCTTTCTCAGGCAACTACCTGCCTATAGAAGGGGATCTGAGAAACCCAGTATTACTGGTTTGTCTTTTTGCCTCAGGCTCTAGCATGACTGCCCAGCACCATTGTTGATCTTGTCTTCATTTTATTTTAAAATATTTATTTATTTATTTATTTATTTAAGGGGGTAGGGGCAAAGGGAGAGAGAGAGAGAATCCTCAAGCAGACTCCCCTCTGAGTACGGAGCCTGACACAGGGCTCAATCCCACAACCCTGAGATCATTACCTGAGCTGAAGTCAAGAGTTGGATGCCCAACTGACTGAGCCACCCAAGAGCCCTGATCTCGTGTTTTTTTTTTTAATGTGATATTTTGTTAATAGTGGATTTTTGTATTAATTTTTATTTTAAAAAATTATTTTTAAATATTATCTTGTTCCCTGAGCTTTTTTGACATCTCCTTAATATTTTGTGCCCTAATATTTTGTGCCCCACTAAAGACCTAATGTAACATGTCCCTCATTTCATTTGGTCCTCAAACACTTTCTGAACAAGGAAATACATGTACTTCTTATTTCCATCTGACAAGGGAGAAAATTGAGAAAAGAGAATTTGGTGCAAAGCCACGCTGCCAAAAACAGGCTATTGTGCAGGTGGTTGTAGCACAGCAATCTTAGAATCAAGGATCCCCTAGACTAGATCCCCAGTTCAGGAACTAACTGCTCCAGCCGTCACTAACCTTGACCAGCCTTTGACAATTTTTTAAAAGCTCAAAACCTATCAAGGTTTTTGTTTTTTGTTTTTTAAGATTTATTTGTTTATTTGACAGAGAGAGAGCACAAGTAGGCAGAGCGGCAGGCAGAGGGAGAGGGAGAAGCAGGCTCCTCACTGAGAGGAGAGCCTGATGAGGGTCTGGATCCCGTATCAGGACCTGAATTGAAGGCAGACGCTAAGAAACTGAGCCACCCAGGCGCTCCCTGTCAAGGTTTCTTACAAGTTTTTGCCAAATTAAAAAGTGAAATATTTGCAGTTCTAAGATAGGACACCAATTACAGACATCTCTCAGGAGATGTAATCAAATTTCCTTGAGGGCCAGGGAGAGAGAATCCCGTTAGTCCCCCTGGAATGGAAGGACTTCCTACCAGCCACTGCTGCTAACAAAACAGTCAGGGGGATCTGAATGTGTCCCCTGAATTAGCAACATTAAAATCTTTTATAGTTAACATTTTATCACTGAAAGTTTTTGTAACTGTTGCGGTCTACTTGATTACATGTTCTTACTTTTATAAAAAATTACAATTATTTTATAGGTTTTAAACTTCTGAATCCTAAAGTAAAAGTATGGATGCTTAAGGAAGCTCTTGTCTTCAGCCCTCCCCTCCCCTGCCTTCGCCCACTCCCGTCTCCTTTGTGGTATGCGTTTTTTTCTTTAAACATTCAGAAAATTTCCAAAAACCGTAAGTCAATTAGATGGAGCTGGCAACTTGTCAGGAGCCCTTGGCGAGTTTCTGGCACAGCCCACATAGCTTTGATTTTCTTCTTGAGAACTGAAAGATGTCCTGACAGGGGCTTAGGCTGAGCTCCTGGGTGTATGGAGGATGCTGGTTAAAAGCTCAGCCTTCAGAGCCCAGTTAGACTCGACTGGGACAGGATCCATCCTTGCTTCCTTCTGAGGACTTTCGTGTCCCCTGCCTGTTTACCTTTTGTGAAATACAACAGTACCTGCCACCTAATAGGGATGTGACCATTTCATAAGGATGTCTGTGAAAGTTACGGTAGCTATTATTATAACCAGGGAGGAACGGAATTCATTTGGGGTTTCGAGGGATTTGAAAAGCACACCTCAAAGTGAATACTTCCCAGCAGGGTCCATCGCACTAAGTCGCAAGTGCTCAGCCCTTTGCATTTTACAAATGCGGAAACTATTTTGTGCTTCTCAGTAGCCCCGTGAGACCAGGCGAGGGTCCACAACTTCGTTTACAGATTCGGGGAGACTCGCCTGAGTTTGCCCTGTTGGGGGATCACTAAATCGGAAACAAAGCTTTTGGGCATGGATCTATCTGAGAATGTGTGGGAAGCAAAGGATTTCCTTTCTGCCGTCGGGCCAGCGAGCGGGAAACGTAGCGGACAGCTGGAGCTAGAGGCCACAGGCGACGCCCCGCCCCTGGCGGGAGCCCCGGATGGGGAAGTGGCGCGGACACCGAGATGAGGCGGAGGCCGGGCCAGAGCGGCCCGGGGCGTGTGGGCGGGAAGGGGGCGGGGCCGCGGGGCGGAGCCACCGGAGCTGCGCGGGTTCTCAGGTGAGCACTCTGTGGCTGGGGCGGGCCGGCAGGAGCTTTGAGCTTGGGCACGGAAGCCGCGAGGGCTGTGGGGGCGAGGGCGGGGCGTCCAGAGGAGGCGCGGGGGACCTCGGGAGGGTCCGGCCCTCGGAGCCCCGGCCTGAAGAGGGAAGGGGCTCCCGAGCTGCGGGTGAGTGGGGCTGCTCGCCGGGCCCGGGCTTGTGGAGTATGAGGGAGGGGGTGGTGGCCCAGGTTCGAGTCCTGACCCCACTCCCCATCCTGCTGTGTGATCTTAGACAAGTCTCCGTGCCTCTCTGAGCTTTAGTGGCCGCAGCTGTGAAATGAGGGTGGGGAGGAGGAGCCGCTGAGAGTTTGTACAGATGGACGTTCAGGGAACGAAGCGCTGCCTCCCTCCTGTTTATCCTCTCCTTGCCCAGGAAACTGACCGCGAAACGTGAACGGTGGGAGTGTCTCAGTGTCTGAGTGACCTTGGGCAAGTCCCTTGCTCTGGCCCACCCTTTCTTTATCTACAAAATGAGTGCGCTAACCTCTTTCAAGATCTCTTTAGTATTTGGGTGTTATTGCTTTAGTTAGAGACAAGGCAGTGAGTGCCCAATTTAATACAGGTTTTCCCTTTAGGGTGTGATAGAATATCTTCTTGGAGGTTGGAACAGACCCTGGCCCAAATTCCCTTTAGTTCCCAGATTCTGTTTTGTCCTCTAACCCTCCTTGTAATTGGAGGAGTGATTTCATCCAAGGGTTGGTGCTACCTCTCCTCTGAACAATACCAGTATATTTAATGGCCTAAAATCAAAGAGCAATTGCGAGGAAAAGTCTGACATTCTAGCCTTTTTGTGTTTCAGTGGCAGAGAGGCAAGATGACTTCTCTCCCCCAAGCTTGGAACAGCTGAAGGAAACAACAGTACAAGATGAGAACAACAAAGGTCTACAAACTCGTCATCCACAAGAAGGGCTTTGGGGGCAGTGGTCAGTATTGATTGATCTTTGGGGGTTGTGTAAATTGGCTGAGGTTCTTGGTGTGTGCAGTGCCTTGAAAATGACACACTGACTCATGTGACAATAGAGGCTAGAGGCAACTTAACTGAGTGAAGCAGCAAGTATAATATAGTTGCAGGGAGGGCAGTAGCACCAGAGAGCAGAGGCCCCTCCTAAAAGCATTTGTATTCTGACTTTTAAGGAACACTGTGAGTGTTGCCAGTCTACTACCTTTCATTTATTTGTATTTTATATTACATGTTTATTGCATACGTCTTATAAAATTGTAGTCTGCACTGGTTTGGCAGATAAAAGAAACTTACATTACATGAGAGCAGTAGTAGATACACATTAGACAGGTATGATCAAAGCATGAAACTTTGCCTGGCTTGGAGGCATAGTGAGAAGGAGCGGGACAAAGCATATTGTTCTGTACTAAACCAGATTTTTCAACTCTGCCTCTAACTTTCCCTGTGACCTCAGGCAAGCCCCTAGTTTACCTTATCTACAACTTCAAGCACATTAGAAAGTTTCTCTGTTTTTCTTAGTACCTTGGGTCTATAAATCTGAAGAATAGGATGGCAATTAGTAATATGATTTGATTTTTCTTTTTGTAAAGGAATAATTTTCCTTTTTGTCCTAACAGTCTTATTTGCTTCAGAAATTGGAATTAACAACATAATGAGTCTTTTTAAAATTGTATTTTACTTTGGATTTGCTCTTGTATATGTGTAAGCCTCCCAAGGGCAAGGACTCCCCAAAAGGGAAAACATTAGTTTCGATATCATAAAGTTTGTGAGGATTGAGTAAGATGATGTATGTAAAGTATTTAGTAGAGTACCAGGTTCAGTGCTACTCAGTAAATATAACCATTATAATTACCAGGACAAGGATATACCAGGCATTGCTATATTTAAAACACAATTTCTGCTAAAATGCACAGTCTCTTGTTAATAGTAGACTTTGTATGCAGTTGATGCCACCTGAACATTTGTGGGGTAGAATTGAGTAGACAACAGAAATAACTTTTTTTTTTTAAGATTTTATTTATTTATTTGACAGGGAGAGACACAGCGAGAGAAGGAACACAAGCAGGGGGAGTGGGAGAGGGAGAAGTAGGCTTCCTGCGGAGCAGGGAGCCTGATGCGCGGGGCTCGATCCCAGGACCCTGGGATCATGACCTGAGCGGAAGGCAGACTCTGCTTAACTGACTGAGCCACCCAGGTGCCCCAGAAATAACTTTTGACAGAGGGAAGGATGCAAGGATATAGTATATACAGTGTATATACAATGTATACAAGTCTACTTTTTCATGTGTATAAAACAAAGATAGGTGCTATACTGTCTCCTGTAGGACTTTAAATAAAAACACATCAAACAAAATTAGGTGCGCATCTGTGCTAAACATAAAGGTTATGAATATGACAAGGTCCCTTGTCCCTAAGGAGCTTTTAGCTTGATGAGACAGATATGTAAAAAGGAAATGGTAAAATGAAACAGTGGAATTTGTGCTCAGGGAGTTTAATTCAGACTATGGAAGTTAGGGGAAGGCATCATAGAGGATTTGGCATAAAACTGTCAATGGAAGCAATATACCAAATAAAATTTGGGATTAACCCAGTGCTTTGCTTTCCTAGGCTGAGCTTTTGTTGGGTCTGATTATATTTGAAATTTAGATATACTTATGTGTCATGGTTTTAGCATAATTAAAGGCTGTATCTTTCCCTCAAAATTAAGACAAAAAAAAATCACTCCCTCTTTATGGTTCTGAGTTTGTTATATATGAAAGCGTTCTCCCCACCCCCAGTGAAGGTGGGGGTGGGAGTAGATAAACATATGAAACTATGTCCTCCCTATATTTTAAGAGTCTCACATACCATGTGAACTGGTATCCAAAGTTTTTCCCTAATCAAGTGCTGCCTTCCAAAATCTAGGGCATTTTACTTGGCTTGTGGGTTTTTTGTTTTGTTTTGTTTTGTTTTTTTATGACATATGAGAGGTGGTGGGCTTTAAGCAGAAGGAATCCTGGGCTAGTAATCAGTCCTGGCTCTTATTAGCTGTTTACCCTTAGGCAAGTCACTTTATCACCTAGGTCATTTCTTCACTTCTGTTAGATCCAAAGATTTATTGTGAGGATCACATTACGACAGTATTTTTGGAAATTCTTTGAACACTATAAATATCAGGGATGGTGCTGCATTTGTGGGACTCAGGCTGTTTTGTTCCTGGGATACGCCAGGTATGTGATAATTTGAGGGAGTAAAGTGTTAATCCCAGAGGTTTAAGTTCCAGAGAGCAAGGGCTGCTTTTTCCCTGGGATCAGTGGGGTGGTAGTAGAAAGAACATGGGCTCTGAAGACAAAGGTCCCGAACACTGTCCAACTCAGCTACTCACTAGCTTTGTGTCTCTGTGTGAATCCTTTAGTTCATCTGAATTGTGATTTAAAATGGAACCTCATCTTCGAGATGGGGTAGTAATACTAACCTGATGAGGTCATGAGGACCCAACATGAGAATGTATACCACAACCTGTCGCCCAGTGAGTCTGTTTTCTGCTTGAGATTGCTAAATTGTCTTTCAGATGATGAGCTAGTCATGAACCCTAAAGTGTTTCCTCACATCAAGCTTGGAGACATTGTGGAGATTGCTCACCCCAATGATGAATACAGGTAAACATCTCATTAGGATCAAGGGAACTAACTGGGCAGCCTGCTGTTGTCAAGTATTTTGTTTAAGGGGCTTCCAGGGCAGGACAGCTCTTAGCCTTTACATAAAACTGTTTCTGCCCTCTAGGATTTGGTAAACCAATAATCTTTTAAAAAGTAGTCTATTCTTTTTGTTTTTAAAGTCAAGATGACAACTCTGTGAGAAATTGTGTAGCATTTAGCCATTTCTGGAGGGCAAGTGCAGAGTTTCTTTGTTTCTAAGAGAACCTCCCCCCCCCTTGTTGTGCTGTAGGTTACAATATATCCAGAGGGATCTGTTTGCCTTTTGTAGGGGGTGAAGAAAGCTGGTTAATTACAGCTTACAGCACCCCATCTCTTTGTTGCTTTCTCCCCCAGCCCTCTGCTTTTGCAGGTCAAGTCACTTAAGGAAGATCTACAGAAAGGTAAGAATTTCACCTCTCTTCTCTAAGGCTTTTGTTTTTACGCTTAGAGAAACTGTTCCAGAAACGGTAAGGAAAGTCTCTTCATAATCTCAGGGAATGAGGGCATAGTACTTCTTTCCTTGTCAAAATGTGTTCGCCTAAAAAAATTGTCAGATTTCAAAACTGCCAAGGAATCGCATTTGTCAGCATCCTAAGGGCACTGAAGAAACCATCTTTATTGTCAGGAGGAAAGTTAACCTGACTAGGTGAAGCTTTATTCTTAATTCAAGAAAAAAAAAATTTGGCAAAGTGTGCTTTCCTAAATATTGTATTTTTTCACAAGATGTTTGTTAAGTGCCTACTCTGGGTGAGAGAGGGTAAAGAAACATACTGATGATTACCTATCACAAATGTAAGGCACTGTACAAGGAGCTTTTTGTAATGTCTCTTTCTTTTTATCTTCCCACACAACTCTTGATTGAGGGATGCGACTTAGTGTCACCGAGGTGAATTGGCTTGCTCGATGTCAGTAAGTGGGGGAGCCAGAGCAGCCATTCTACTTACTCATTCTGGATCAGATCCTTTCTTTTTTCCTCTAATGAGTGTACCATGCTGTTCAAGGAACCAAAATGTTAATTGATAGCAAATTAGGTAATTCCTTAAATAGTACTTAAAAGAAGATTCTGGTTTGCTCTAAAGGACTGTGATATCCACTACTTTTATAATTCAGTATGATGTGGAAGCACTTTATAAAACCCAAATCCTAAGAGTTTCCTCCTCCTCCTCACCACCCCATCTCCTGCCATCTGGTATGTTTCTTACTTACCAGATGTAAGGGATCATTGAAAAGTTTGTTTCTCCCTTAACTATCTCAGCTACTTTCATTCCAAACGAGAAATGATCTCCTTCCTTTTCTGAATTTTCACAGTTCTTTGAACTTTTTTATATTGCTCCTTAATTTCTTTATTTTTCCTCTCTCTCATTTTTTAATTGCTGAAGGCTCAGGTCTTATTTCACATGCTTGTTTCACCTAAAAAGCAGAGCATTCTAAGCTTTAAGATGTTGGAAGGCAGAGACTGTTTCTTGCCCATGGCCAAGGATCATTTGTGTTGCTTGTCAAATGACTGTTTATAGATTAGAATATATTTACCTTGGGGGCACCTGGGTGGCTCAGTTGGTTAAGTAACTGCCTTCAGCTCAGGTCATGATCCTGGAGTCCCGGGATCGAGTCCCACATCAGGCTCCCTGCTCAGCAGGGAGTCTGCTTCTCCCTCTGACCCTCCCGCCTCTCACGCTCTCTGTCTCTCTCTCAAATAAATAAAAAAATCTTAAAAAAAAAAAAAATATATGTATATATTTACCTTCTTTTTCAGAGTATGTTCTCTGATCCAGATTTCTTCTGTTTCAGAAACTATTAGTGTGGACCAGACTGTGACTCAAGTGTTCCGACTAAGACCTTATCAAGATGTTTATGTGAATGTTGTAGACCCTAAGGTATGTCTTTGCTCTGGACTTGAATATCTTTTGGGGAATGATTAATACTGTTCCTAAAAGGTTAGGTCTTTAAGGAAATAATGAGTTATGTAAGTATAGTGTTGGACTTTTAAATATGTGGTCATATATAGGTCACTTAGATTATAGGTATTACATAGGTTGCATTTAAAGCCCTCACCCTTTTTTAAAAGCTTTCCTAAAAAGATTCTTTATATATAGGTACATGTCAAGCTCAATGTAAAATTTTCTATTAAAATACTATAATTTCTCTAGGTGTTCTCCTTTTTTTTCTGAGTTGAGAAATGGTGCTGTAATAGGTAAAAATCATTGTCTAAAAGGTATCATTGACATTATCTAGAGAAATAAAGCACAGAGCTCAATGTCCTATGTATGTGCCAGAATCAAGACTAAACACAGAATTATTACTTTGGTACTTTTTGCACTTAGTCATGATCCAGCTGCTGTAGCATCTGTTGTAGACTTATCATCTGTACTCAAAAGCCTTTTCTGGCAGGATGAAATGCTATGTGTCGGTGTTCAGTTATCAAATGTTCTTCTAGTAGTTTTCTTGTTTGCTAAAAGGTTTCTGCATGGTGAGTGTGCATTATCTTAAGATGAAGTGTGGCAGAGTAACGCAGAGAGATATATTTGATTATCCCTTTTAGGATGTGACCCTTGACCTAGTGGAATTAACCTTTAAGGATCAATATATTGGCCGTGGGGATATGTGGCGATTAAAGAAAAGTTTGGTAAGATGTGATTAAAAAAAAAAAAAGTCTCTTACTTTTCCTGTTATATTAATCCATTTTCCTTGTAGAGATTTAGTAGGGAGAAGGGTATAAAATCATTTCTAATTCCAGCATCACAGATAATTATTGTAAACCCTTTGTGTATCTTCTTCCATTCTCTTTGTAGTTTTTTTGAGCTTTGTTTTGCTTGTTTATAGATTTTTACTCCACATTTTTGGTTAGAACGGGAAATTATAATATTATTTTACATTTGAATGGAACTTTAGCTTTCACATGTTCCTGTCACCTCCCCATGGACAGGTATTTATTACTCTTCATTTATGTGAAAATTGAGATTGAGAGGATAAGCGATTACTCAAGACTAAAAAGCTATAGTCAGCAGTGGACACCGCGCTAGAACCCAGATCTTGTCGCTTCCCAGTTAGACTGCTTTTTGCCGTACCCTTCTCCCATTTTCCTGATTTATTTATTTTGAATTAACATTTTCTACTTAAAATGATCAGTTCATTGTGAGCTGGTGCTGAAAATTTTTCTTATTGGGCATTTTGAGCATTATGAAGCAACAAATTGTAGGTAGAATTTCCATACAGTGAATATTTTCAGAAAAAAATATGTTTGCTCATTTTGTATTGGTTGGGGGAGGGTTCCATTCTATAAAACGAGAGCTAAAATGATAAATAAATGTGTAATTAAATGAGTATGTAAATATAGAAATGTATGCAAATGTATGTGAAGATAAACATGTTAGTGAAGCTGGGCACTTATTTTCCATCTGGTCTTTATTATTGTCTATACTTGTCACACTCTTAAGAACCTACTGTTATACCTGCCCCAGCAGGTTTGCCTATGGGATAAATCTATTACTCCCTTGTTAATTGAACCTTGGGTTGTTAGAAGAAATTAGAAAGGCAGGAAACTTTCTTTGTGACCTTTTATGTCCTTGATGTGTTGTTGAATCTCATATCCTCTCTCTCTCTCTGTCTGTTTCTCTATCTTCCTTAGGTCAGCACATGTGCCTATATCACTCAGAAGGTGGAATTTGCTGGCATCAGGTAGATATTACATCACTCTTGACTTACCAGCTAATACCTGGGAGTAGGATCTAGTGCAGTAACTGGGCTACATACAGCATTTGAGGCATGTGGATGTACATATAATAAAATATACGATAGCTTAAAAGGTTAGATTGTAATAAATAAATACATAAAAGGTTAGACTGTTGTTGCTAAAACAAACCAAAAAATCCCAAATGGACTATAGTAGTTTTAAGATGAGTGGAAGTTGCTGAAGCTACATGGTATTCTGTAGCAAAGGAAGCATAGCTTCATAATTTTAGAACTAGAAAAAGCCTTAGATGAATGTATTTAATCAAACCTTCTCGTTTTACAGATTAAGAAACATGCTTGGAGATACAAAATGACTAGCCCAGTAGTTCCTGATTTGCTGCCTTTTTAACCATATTGTACTGCCTTTGATTTATTAAAATAATTCCTAAATTTCAGTTTGTAAAGAAGAGAGAGAAAGGGACTTTTTGAAAGCCCTTTTAATTCAAAAAGCACAGGGTCCACAGAGTAAGGCCTTCAAACAGTGCAAAAAGGTGTATAATGAAAAACAAATCCTTCTCCTTAGAAGAAATGGTTTCTTACCTGAAATTTATTATGTATAACACAAGCATGTTTACATCTGGTTGACTCACCTTTTTTTTTTTTTTTTTTTAAGATTTTATTTATTTTAGAGAGAGAGCTCATGAGTGAGCGAGTGGGGGCAGGAGAGGGAGCAAGAGAATATTGAGCAGAGTCCATGCTGAGCATGGAGCCCAAAGTGGGGCTCGATCCCAGGACCCCAAGACCATGACCTGAGCCAGAATCAAGAGTCGGACACTCAACCAACTGAGCCACCCAGGTGCCCCTGGTAGACTCATTTTTAATGGCACTAGGATTGACCAGTGGGTTCCAGTGAGGTAGTCTCGTCCTCCATTATGAAGTTCCCCATCAACTTTTCACCTAATGGTTTCACCCATTGATGATTGTTGCAAGATGGTGATTTTCTAATTCAGTCATTTTTCCTACCTTTATTAGCCAGAATCCTTTCTTCTTTTTTTTTTTAAGATTTATTTATTTATTTATTTGAGAGAGAGAGAGAGAGCGTGCAAGCACCCAGAGGGAGAAGGAGGGGAAGAAGCAGACTCCCCGCTGAGCAGGGAGCCCGATGTGGACTCGATCCCAGGATCTGGGATTATGACCCGAGCCAAAGGCAGATGCTTAACTGACTGAGCCACCTAGGCGCTCCCAGAATCCTTTCTGTAAAGAACATTTCATCATCAGCTAGGGCAAATTGGTTAATCTGAACTATTGATCCTAAAGGAAAGAAAGGATAAAGGATTAATTTTTTTCCCCAAAAAAGGGGATGGTTTAAAAATTGGAGGGTCAAGATTCTTTGAGAAATTTTATTTTATTTTATTTATTTATTTTTTTTTAAGATTTATTTATTTGAGAGAGAGAGAATGAGAGAGAGAGCACATGAGAGGGGGGAGGGTCAGAGGGATAAGCAGACTCCCTGCCCAGCAGGGAGCCCGATGTGGGACTCGATCCCGGGACTCCAGGATCATGACCTGAGCCGAAGGCAGTCGCTTAACCAACTGAGCCACCCAGGCGCCCCTTTGAGAAATTTTAGTAAAAGATTTTAAAGCACAGCCCAAGAAGTGACTAAGCCTCGAGCAAAATAAGAAATGCAACCTAGATTCATGCTTTCCAGTACAACTTAGTCTCTCCGAGGTGGTGGGCCAGGAGTCAGGAAACCTATAATCTACTCCTGCACTGCCAGTGATTAGTGGGGGTGATGTTGGGCAGGTCAGAGAGACTCTGTATCTACTCCTCTGCAAAATGAAATGGTTGGTTTAGAATCTTTTTCTGTAAAGGACCAGAAAGTAAATGTTTTACACTTTGGGCCACATGGGTCTCAGGTCTCTGTTGCAAATTTTTTGTTTTTCGTTTTTTTTCCAACATTTAAAAATATAAAATCCAGGGATGCTTGGGTGGCTCAGTCAGTTAAGCATCTGCCTTCAGCTCAGGTCATGATCCCAGGGTTCTGGGATCGAGTCCCACGTCAGGCTCCCTGCTCAGCGGGGAGCCTGCTTCTCCCTCTCCCTCTGTCTCTGCTCCCCCTGCCTGTGCTCTCTCTGACAAATAAATAAAACCTTAAAAAAAAAGTAAAAAAAAAAAAAAAAAAAATATATATATATATATATATAATCCATTCTTAGCTGTGAGCCACATAAAAATAGGAGATGGGCTGGATTTGGCCTGCAGGCTATAGTTAGCTGAGCTCTGGTTTAGAAACCCACTCAGATACCTTTCATTCTTAAATTTCTTGTTTTTCTGTGCAAGTGCCCATATCCACATGGTGCCAGATACAGAAATGAAAACCCTGACATAATGTCAGGTCTAGACTTTCAAAGATCTCTCCTAATATTTTACTCATTCATAGTCAAATGTAAACCACAGTCTTTTACTATTTCTCCAGAAGACTATATATTTATAGTCTTCCTACACTGAATCAAAAGTCACTTTCCTTCCTACAAGGAGGCATGCAAATTAAAAAAAAAAAAAGAAAGAAAGAAAAAAAAAAGATGCTCTGGGCCTCACATAACAAAAGATAGTCGTTATTTATATAAAGTCATAATTATTGAGTTTTTCTGTAATTTAGCCTCTTTACCTAGTAATTTAATTAATACTTAAGGACATATGAGACCGTTTCATTACCTTGAGACCTTGCCTTTGAAGCATCGTTTTTCCTTCAAAGGTAAACATTTTTATTTTCTCTAACTAAATTCCCAATGTATTCTTCAAAATGTTAAAAATAAACCCTGCAATCAGTATTTTAAAAAAATTAAAGGGTGCCTGGGTGGCTCAGTCGTTAAGCGTCTGCCTTCGGCTCAGGTCATGATCCCAGGGTCCTGGGATCGAGTCCCGCATCGGGCTCCCTGCTTGGTAGGAAGCCTGCTTCTCCCTCTTCCACTCCCCCTGCTTGTGTTCCTGCTCTCGCTATATCTCTCTCTGTCAAATAAATAAATAAAATCTTAAAAAAAAAAAAATTTTACAAGAAAAATATTGTACTAAAATCCTATCTCCTAAAAATTAGCATTTTGCCTTTTTAAAAATATGGAACTTAGAAACCTAGTCTGTTTGATTTCATCATGAAGAGATCTCATTTTTCCAGATAATTTTGGGACTGCTAACTAGCTAAGGTTTCTGTTTTTACTTAAAGAAATTTTTTTTCTGACTCACACTCCAGAGGGAGCAACACTAAATAATTTCTGGCCTTCACTTCTCAGCTGTACAGAAGCAGACAGACCAGTGTGGAGAGTCACAGTTAAAGCCCCTTGAAATATCCAGTTTGGATGTTTTCCTGGTAAATCTGTACCGCAGAGGATCTTCTGGGATCTTCTCTGACTTGAGTCTGATTCTGTGGTGGCCATTCTCTTAGAATGTCTTTCCTAACTATAGAATTCATACTAAGTACCACTTGTTTATCACATGCTAGATACTAGGCATATGCTAAGTATTTTTATATATAATACATGCTCAATGTAGACAGTTTGATAGAATAAAGAAGCAGGAAAAAGAAATATTACATTACTACTCAGAATCAATCACTATTAACATTTGACACAGTTCTGCCAAAATATTCTGTCTTCCTCTCCCCACCTTTTGGCTTGAGAACATATAGTATACATGATGTTATGTACTGTCCAAAAAAAAAAAAAAAAAAAAACCCAAGCCCAAAAACTTTGTTTTCATATTTGAAAAAAACATTTATTCTAGAAAATTGGGTAGTACAGAGTATAAAGAAGAAAACTTGGAGCCCCTAGATCTCTCAGTCAGTTATGTTTCTGCCTTCAGCTCAGGCCCTGATCCCAGGGTTCTTGCATTGGCCCACGTCTGCTTCTCCCTCTCCCTCTGCCCCTCCCCCCCACTCATGCTTGCTCGAGTTCTTTCTCAAATTAAATAAAATCTTAAAAAAAAAACAGAAGAAAAAAACTTACAGTGAACTATAAGCCAACTGTGTACAGATAACCACTATTAAATTTTAGTGTGACCTTTCAGTATTTTTTTTCTTTTATTTTTTTAAAAGATTTACTTGTTTATTTGAGAGAGAGAGAATGCACAAGTGAGAGGCTGAGAGGCAGAGGGAGAAGCAGAGGGAAAAGCAGACTCCCCACTGAGCAGGGAGCCTGATGCAGGGCTAGATCCCAGGACCCTGAGATCATGACCCGAGCCAAAGGCAGGTGCCTAACTGACTGAGCCACCCTGGTGCCCCTCTTTTCTTTCTTTCTTTAAAAAAAATTTTTTTTTCAAGATTTTATTTATTTATTTGACAGAGACACAGTGAGAGAAGGAACACAAGCAGGGGGAGTGGGAGAGGGAGAAGCAGGCTCCCTGCTGAGCAGGGAGCCTGATGCAGGGCTTGATCCCAAGATCCTGGGATCATGACCTGAGCCAAAGGCAGACGCTTAATGACTGAGCCACCCAGGCACCCCCTTTTTTAAAAATTTTTAATTAAGTAATCTCCATGCCCAAAGTGGGGCTTGAACTCACAACCCAGAGATCAAGAGTTGCGTGCCCTACTGTCTGAGTCAGGCACCCCTCAGTGTTTTATTTTCATACATACACGCACATGCATGTATTTTTACATAGATGATAATACTGTGTGTACTATTTTGTATTCTTTTTTCCCACTTAAAAGCTTATAAACTCCTTGTAAACATGATTTTAATGGTTCCATGATATTCTGTTGTCTGGATACATCATAATTTACTTAACCTGTCTGCCATTGCTGGACATTCAGGTTGTTCAAAGGTGTGTTAATGCAGATAACACTACAGTGAATATACTTTGCATTTATTTTAACTTCACATTCACAGAATGATGAAATTTAGTTGTAAAGGATAGTGGAGATCACTGAGCCCCCACAGCTCACTCCATAGAAAAGGGAGGGAAAGCACCTACCCAAGCTTCTACATAAATCAAGGGCTAGTGCCTCCCAGGTCACCTTCATCCTCAGGGCTTGGCAGTATGCCATTCTGCCTCTTGTAGAAAGCCATGTGTGCTCCTGGGCTCTGTCCTGGGTGATAATGGATTTTGCGTTGCATCAGTCAGTGGCAGTTTTTCTTCCCTTGAACCAGCAGAAAAGAGAAGAGAAGCTACCTCGGGGCCATTCTCAGTTCCTGTTTGGGTAAGGGCAGATTTTGGGTTTAGGAGCAAAGGTCAAGATTCCATTTTCTGTGTGTATGTGTTTTATAAAAGAACCATTTACATTGGAATAATAACTTTCACAGTTCACCAAGTTCTCTCATTTACAGTATCTTACTGGATCTTTTCAAGAGCTGTAGAAGATGGATGGGGCAGGGTTCTTATTAACACATTTACTGATTTTTTAAAAACTGGCTCAGAAAAATTGCGGCTTGGGGCGCCGGGGTGGCTCAGTCAGTTAAGCATCTGCCTTCAACTCAGGTCATGATCCCGGGGTCCTGGGATCGAGCCCCATGTGGGGCTCCCTGCTCAGCGGGGAGCCTGCTTCTCCCTCTGCTGCTCCCCATGCTTGTGCTCTTTCTCTCTTGCTCTCTGTCAAGTAAGTAAAATCTTAAGAAAAAGAAGGAAAGATTGTGGCTTGACCTCCACAGGGAGTGGAGGGGCTGGAATCTAAGCCCAAATTTTGTAACACTATTAGCAGAAGTTGGTGAGTTAGCTCATGTTAGAGGCCTGGTTAATCCGGTATTTATTAGCCTGTATGCAGAGTGCTTTCTGCTAATAGAACTCAGAGATCATGGGAACATTGGAAACCTTCCTTATGTTAAACAAACCGAAGTCCCTTCTCAGATGAGCTCGTGGCAGTTGTCCACTCACAGACACACTTGGGCAAAGGAATACCAAGAGGCACCCCTTTTGGTGAAAGCAGAGTTGGGAAGCATATTTAAAAGAACATGGGCTTGGTCCAGCTTTCTTCATTTTACAGATGGGAGGGAGAGCCAGCAAGGCTGACTGATTGTCTAGTGTTTCTCAGGTAGCCTGAGCTGTGACTCATGGTATACAGCATTTTCCTTGCTTTGATTTTATCTTTTCTTCTTTTTTATGAGGACTGATTGCTTAGGGCCAGGCAGGAATTTGCACTGGGGTTGGTAGAAGAGAAGGACTTGAGTGGTTGATTGATGGATGATTACAAGGTTCTCAGATAACAGCTATCCCTTTCTCTCCAGGATAGCATTTTTTTCTTTTAAGATTTTATTTATTTATTTGAGAGAGAGAGACAGAAATAGTGAGAAAGAGAGAGAGAGAGGGCATGAGTGGTGAGGAGAGGGAGAAGCAGACTTCCCAAGCAGGGAGCCCGACGCAGGATTCAATCCCAGGACCTCAGGATCATGACCTGAGCCGAAGGCAGACACTTCACCAACTGTATCACCCAGGCATCCCTCTCTGGGATAGGATTTTGTGTTCATATTTACCATTGTTGGGACGCCTGGGTGGCTCAGTCGGTGAAGTGTCTGCCTTCGGCTCAGGTCATGATCCCGGGGTCCTGGGATCAAGTCCTGCATTGGGCTCCTTGCTCAGCAGGGAGCCTGCTTCTCCCTCTGCCTGGTGTTCTCTTGCGCTCTCTCTGGCAAATAAATAAATAAAATCTTTAAAGAAGAAATACTTACCATTGTTACAGTTCTTGCTAATACAGGTAGCTACTAGTACTCTTAACTCTGGCACCTTGTATCCCAGTGCTTTCCTGAATAGTTTCCCCACAGTATCTGGTTTAATTCTCTGAACAGCTCTATAAAGTAGATGTCATTATTTCCTTTTTTAAAATAAGGGTGCTGGGCCTCAGAGTTATTTCCCCATGGCCATTCAACTAGTTAAGGACACTCAGACCTGAGATTCCTGCCAAGACTAGTTCTACTCAAGGCTGGTCAGCTCAGAAGGCCATGCTCTTTGAGCTGTGCTATCCATTTTATGCCCTTAATAAGTTGCAGAGGAAAAGACTTAATTAAGCCCCCAAAGTGCAATACGACGTTGCCATGAAAACTTTTCAGCAGAATGGCCTCCACTGAATAGGGACTCTGTCCCATGCCTCCTGATTGCTTGTGTTCTAATCCGGATATTAAGATAGACTTTGTTTCTGTTGAAACTTACCATATCAGGGGTGCCTGGGTGGCTCAGTCATTTAGCGTCTGCTTTCGGCTCAGATCATGATCTCAGGGTCCTGGGATTGAGCCCCGCGTCGGGCTCCCTGCTCTGCGGGAAGCCTGCTTCTCCCTCTTCCACTCCCCTGCTTGTGTTCCCTCTCTTGCTGTGTCTCTCTCTGTCAAAAAAAAAAGTAAAAATAAAAATAAATCTTAAAAAACTTATCATATCAAAGATGGGATGAGCAAAAGTGTTCGTCGGTTCTTCCTAACTATTTTTGTGACATGGACCCTTTTGAGATTTGACAAAAACTGTAAATCTCTGCCCAGAAAACTTTGCATGATTTCAGAGGATTCATGGATGTGCCAAAGCCCTTCCTGAGACTTGCATGTTGCTGTTGGACTTCCAGATTAAGAACTGTCATAAAATTCAGTATACTCTGAGGTGGTTTTTTTTTTTTTTTTTTGGTATTTTTAATGACAAAACAGACCTAAAACTGCAGCTTCTGGAAGAACCACTTGTTCTTGCTGGTCTCAGACGTCTCCTCGAACTTGACCTTGGCCTCTCGTCGGGCCTTGCGTTTAAGAGCAGGGTCTCTGAAGACATCCTTGTTGAGGACAGTTTTGTCCAAGGGGATATCCACAGAGAACCTTGTGGGCTTGAGGTGATTGTAGTTACAAACTTTCACAAAAGACTTGATCTTTGACCTCTTGGTGATTTTCTTCTTGCCTATGGTAGCTGTTACTGCAGGGATAGCGGTCAATTCCAGCCATCAGAGCATGGCAGTAGGGACAGTCTGAGGTGCCATCTTGAATGTTCTTCATGATGACCACTTTGTGTCTGGAGTAGCATCTGGCCAGGACCAGCACCACCTTCCCGGGTTTCATGAACTTGCCCATCTTGATACCAGCCACCCCAGCCTATAGCTGAAAGGAAGAAAGGGCACTTCTGCTCCACTCTGAGAATTCTTTATGTTGTGTAATCTGTTCATGGCATTCTCTCTGGAAATCTGTAACTGGGCAGCTCATATGGGGATAAGTATTAGAGTACAGTGAGCCACCCTGAAGTCATCCCTGTTTCTTTGTGTTTTATGTAGGACTTGCAATAACCCTTGTGTGTATATCTTTTCAGGGCACAGGCTGGTGAGCTGTGGGTCAAGAATGAGAAGGTCATGTGTGGTTATATCAGCGAAGATACCAGGGTGAGATTGATAAAATGCCTTTTGGTTTTGTTTCTTCATACCATTATGTCTGAGTCCTGAAACCAAAAACAAATCAGAAACAAGTAAAAACTTGATAATTTCCTGATGGGTACTGTTTACCCAGGTAGAGAATATTGTAGTATTGTCAAGGACTCCTGGAATTCTAATGTTTTATAGTTGGATCTCTCCAGTTTGGGGTCAATCTTTTGTTTTATCTTCTTTTTTTTTAAATTTTTATTTATTTATGAGAGAGCGAGAGCAAGCACAAGTGGAAGGAGGGGAGAGGGAGAAACAGACATCCTGTTGAGCAGGGAGCCTAATGCAGGACTTGATCCTAGGACCCTGGGATCATGACCTGAGCCAAAGGCAGATGCTTAACTGACTGAGCTACCCAGGCGCCCCTTTGTTTTCTTTTCTAAAAGAGGTCTAAACATGGAAATACAGTATCTAGCACTTGCAGGCTTCGATGCTTGCTAATACATAGCAGAAGTTAAACTCAGTAGAAGACTGCCGTTGGTAAACATCAACAGAGACTTTTGCAAAGGAATTTCCTTCTTTGGCTCTCTATTCCAATTGGAAAAATCCAAACTGAACAGCTGTAAACATTACCCATGCTGGTGAAACCACTTGTCTGCTCTTCCTTGTTCTCATCCCGTGCCTCCTTTGAGAGCAGTGGTTTGAATGGGGGGTGATCTTGCCTCCACTGGGGTCTTTTATCAATGTCTGGAGACATTTTTATGTGTCACAGCCAGGATTTTGTGAGGAAGGTTGGTAAACATGATATAGTATATACGACAGATCTCCAGAACAAAGAATTACCTGGTCCAAAATCGCAGTGATGTGATGGTGGGGGGGCTGTCTCACACATTATGGGATGTTTAGCAGCATCCCTAGCTTTTGTGCACTATATACCAGTAGCACCCTGGGAGTCGTGACAACCAGAAATGTCTCCAGGTATTACCAAGGGCCCCCTGGAGGAGCAAAATTGCTTCTGGTTGAGAACCAGTGCCTTTATAGGAACCCCTATCTGAATTCTATTTTTGTGTTTTTTTCTTGTTTACGTAGTGTTAGTACATATGTATTTTACCCTAAACAGTGTATTACTTGTTTTGCTTATTTTTGAGCTCTATTAAGGTTTTAGGTAGCTTTTTTGTACCTAATGCTATATAGAGAGAGAGAGAGAGAAAGAGAGAGAGAGAGTAATTTTTTTTTTTTAAAGATTTATTTATTTGAGAGAGAGAGCGAGCACAGGTGTGCGAGCAGGGGGAGGGGCAGAGGGAGAGGGAGGGGAAGAGAATCTCAAGCAGACTCCCACTGAGCGCAGAACCAAATGCAGGGCTTGATCTCATAATCCTGAATACATGACCTGAGCTGAAATCAAGAGTCGGACACTTAACTGACTGAGCCACCCAGGAGCCCCTATATATATATTTTTTAAAGATTTATTTTTTAATTTGAGAGAGTGCAGTGGGGAGGGGCAGAGGGAGAGGGAGAGAGCCCCAAGCAGACTCCACGCCGAACACAGAGCCCAACACGGGGCTAGATTTCACGACTTAGATCATGACCTCAGCTGAAACCAAGAGTCAGACACTCAATCTACTGTGCCCCCCAGGTGCCCCCAATACTATATTTTTAATCTATAATTAGGAGTGTATAGGTCTTAGGTAAGATAATGGCAAATTATTTTTCAAATTCTTTGGACCAGGTAATACTCCTAGTAGCAATATATAAAATCTCCTGTTGTTTTTCACTTTTTCCTACATTTGGTGTTAGATTTTTAAAGTTTTTGCAGCTCTAATGGGCACAAATTGTTATTTTATAGTGATCTAGTTTTGCTTTTCCCCACTTTTCTAGAAATTCACTCTTAAGCTTAACTTAGAAAGACCATGATAATTTGGCATATGCTTACCTCTTCAACATCATTCATTCACATATTTAATAAATAATATGGAAGCACCTCCTGAGTGTCAGCTACTGTGCTTTTTTTTTTTTTTAGACACTTAATTTGAAAAAAATTGGTAAAGATGGGTGCTTGGCTGGTTCAGTTGGTAGAGCATGTGGCTCTTTATCTTATGGTCATGAGTTCGAGCCCCATGTTGGGTGTAGAGATTACTTAAAAAAAAACCAAACACCAGACTGGTGTAGAACATTATCCATGAACATCCTTCACTCTAAAGATTTTATTTATTTGTCAGAGAGAGAGAGTGCACAAGCAGGGGGAGCGGCAGCCAGAGAGAGAAGCAGGCTCCCTGCTGAGCAAGGAGCCTGATGCAGGACTCGATCCCAGGACCCTGAGATCATGACCTGAGCCGAAGGCAGATACTTAACGACTGAGCCACCCAGGCATCCCTATGAACACCCTTCATTATAGAGGGGAATTCAGAGTGGGGAATTCCCATTCTGTGGGGATGCATGGGTGAACAGCACAGATGAAATCCTTCCTGGTAAAGAGTTTACACACCCTAGTGGGGAGACATATGTAAGTAGGCACCCAGTCCGTAAATGTAATTACAGATTATGATGAGTACTCCAAAAGAAATTAATTGGGTGATGAGAAAGACTAACTGAAGGTGGCCTTCTTGTAAACAAATGAGATATATTAAACATTCTTCGGGAAACAGCATTACAAGAGAGAGTAACAGATCATTACAAAGGTGGTCAGGGAGGTGTCTTTGAGAAGATGTTAGAAAGGTGAAACTTAGCCAGTGTATGGAGGTTGAGGCAAAGAGCTTTCCAGGCAAAGGAAACAATTTTGAGAGGCCAGTGTGGCAGAAGCATAGGAGATGAATAGAGAGAATGATGTCGGTGGGAAGGTGGACTGGTTGCAGCCAGTTCACACAGGTCCTTGTAACCAGTGTAGAATTTATTCTAAGGATAATTGGAATCCATTGAAGGATTTTAAGTGGGGGGAGTGATTCCCAATTTATGCTTTCAAAAGATCACTTATTCATCCAGTTGGATTTTGTTGTTGTTACATAAGTTAACCTATTTATTACAGGCTAGTCATGTTTCAAATAGTGGAGCTTCTACTGGTCTCTGAATTCCTTTCGTCCACTGATGGCTGACTTCACTGTGATGGCAGAAGTGGTGTTGTGGGCCCAGGCACCACTGGCTACTGTTTGCATGTAGTAACCATAGTGCCAGATGCCCACAGCTCATCTTTTCATCTTCGTTTTCTCACAGAAGGAGCATGTGTACTTGGTGTGCTGGCTTTCTTCAATTTTCTTCACCATTTTCCTGAGGGAGACACCATAATGGGTGCTGTCTTTACCAGCGATTCTGACCTTCATGGTGCATTTAGCCATGTCACCACAAACTAGGTCCGAGTTCAGAGCCATTCATTTGGATTTTGTTGAACAAAAAACCCCCAAAGTAACAATGGCAAATTGATGCTCCAAAGTCAACTTTTTTCTCTCTGGTAAAAGAAGTCCATGGGAAGACCGTTCCTGGCTGGTATGGCAGCGTCACTGTTATTGGTGAGCTAAGGCTCTTTTTGTCTTCCTGTTCTGCCATCCTCAGGACTGGGCTTCCATGATGAGCTGGAGCTGCTGTAACCACATTCATATTCCAGGTAGAGGAGAGAGGAAGGGAAGAAAGACAAGAGGGATGCACCTTCCAGTCATGTTAGCTTCAGGATGTGACATTTCTGTTAACATCTTATTGGCCAGAATTTAGTCACACATAGCTACTCAGGAAGCCGGGAGGTTTAGTCTTTTGATTGGGTCCTTTACCTCTTGGAATAGAATCAGCTTCCCATTACTTAGGAAGAAAGGTTGTGCCATAGGCACCCATAGTGGCTCTGTGTAGAGCATTGTTTGTAGGGGCAAGAGCAGAAGCAGAGAAACAAGTCAGGAAGGTAGAAGACTGTGGCATGGACTAAGGTAGGAGCTGTAGCATTGGAGGGATGTGGGCAGACTCGAGATGCATTTTGGGGTAGAGTCCACAAAACTTGCTGATGGATTGGATATGAAGCGTGAAGGAGAGAGAAGAATTGATCAGCTTGATGGACTGATGGTGGTGTCCTTTATGAGGTGGGGAAGACTGGGGACGAGACATTTGGGAGCAATTGAAGAAAGTTGTGAGATACCTGTTGGACTTCTGAGAGGAGAAATCCGGGGAGGCAGTGGAGTCTGGAGCTCATTTTGTCACTTCTCCCATATGTCCCCATACCCCACCCTGTCCTGCCCTTGGGAACCATTTGTTTGTTCCTCAAACATGCCAGGTTCTCTCTTGCATCTGTGTCTTTGCACATACTGCTCTCTCCTGCCTGGAGCATTTAGGTCCTGCCTTCCCTCCTTACAAGCTACTCATCCATCCCTCCCTACTTGTCTCAGGCTCCCTTGCTTCTGGAAAGCCTTCCTGGTTCCTTGAGGCAGTCTGGGTATGAAGGACGTGTCCGATGTGAATTATAATTTATTAGACTGGCAGCTCATCAGTTGGCATGTCTTAGCCCAGGTTCGACATTCATAATGAGGTTTTCTTGACTTTTCTAGGTTGATTTACTGCTCCTTCTACATTTCTTATGAGAACCTTCACGGAATGTTTGTGTATGTTGCAGTCTTTTGCATGTTTTAATCCTCTACTCTAAGCTCCTAGAGGGTAGGGACAAGATCTTCTCTTCATGGCTTATGATGCCAGGGATGAAGCTTGCTTTTAGAAGTCCCATGTCACAATTAAGAAAAATCTTCCAGGGGCACCTGGATGGCTCAGTCGTTAAGCGTCTGCCTTCGGCTCAGGTCATGAACCCAGGGTCCTGGGATTGAGCCCCACATCGGGCTTGCTGCTCAGCGGGAAGCCTGCCTCTCCCTCTTCCACTCCTCCGCTTGTTTTCCTTCTCTCACTGTCTCTCTCTCTCTCTCAAAGAAATAAAAGCTTAAAAAAAAGAAGAAAAGAAAAATCTTCCATCATTGCTCTTTTTTTTTTGGTGGTGGCGGTAAAAAACATATAAGATATACTATCTTAACCATTTTATTTTGTTTTATTTATTTTTTAAGATTTTTAAGTAATCTGTATACCTAGTGTGGGGCTCGAACTTACAACTCTGAGATCAAAAAGTCTCATGCTGGGACACCTGGGTGGCTCAGTTGGTTAAGCAGCTGCCTTCGGCTCAGGTCATGATCCTAGAGTCCCTGGATCGAGTCCCGCATCAGGCTCCCTGCTCAGCAGGGAGTCTGCTTCTTCCTCTGACCCTAACCCTGCTCATGTGCTCTCTCTCATTCCCTCTCTCTCAAATAAATAAATAAAATCTTAAAAAAAAAAAACAAAACTTAAAAAAAAAAGTCACATGCTCTACTGACTGAGCCAGCCAGGTCCCCCCACCTTGTCTTAACCATCTTATTTTATTTTTAGAGAGAATGAGAGCGAGTGGGGACAGAGGGAGAGGAAGAGAGAATTTCAAGCAGGCTCCACACCCAGTGCAGAGTCCAGTGCGGGCCTGGATCTCATGACCCTGAGATCAGGACCTGAGCCGAGATCAAGAGTCAGACACTTAACTGAGCCACCCAGGGGCTCCTGTCTTAACCATTTTAAAGTGTATAGTTCAGAGGCGCTTGGGTGGCTCAGTCGTTAAGCGTCTGCCTTCGGCTCAGGTCATGATCCCAGGGTCCTGGGATCGAGCTCCACATCGGGCTCCCTGCTCAGCGGGAAGCCTGCTTCTCCCTCTCCCACTCCCCCTGCTTGTGTTCCCTCTCTCGCTGTATCTCTCTCTGTCAAATAAATAAATAAAATCTTTATTTTTTTATTTTTATTTTTTAAAGATTTTATCATCATTGGTTTTTAATGCACCTACATTTTTGTTTATTTCAGGTGGTGTTCCGTTCTACGTCGGCTATGGTTTACATATTTATTCAGATGAGCTGTGAAATGTGGGATTTCGATATTTATGGTACAGTTCCTAAGTGCTGGTTGTAGTTGCCACTCGGTAGACATTTCTGGTTTCTCCCAAGTTGGTATCATTTTACAGTAAGCTATTGACATTCTCTAAAAATGTGTCCTGAAATCTTTACAAATCATCAAATGCCAAAATAAACAAATTGAAAGTAAATATTTTACATATATGTATATATATATGGTGAATTCCATGAAATGCTATAAAGTATTAATGAGAAATCTGACTTCTCAGATCTTTAATTGTTCTGAAAAGTCATAAAGTCACTCTATGGCTAGGAACCAACACTTTCTTTGATACCATTCATTTCTCTTCCTGTCACTCACAGAAATCTCCATGTTTGTCTCATTTTATTAGAGTTACTATGTAATGAGTAGAGGGCAATAAAGCTGCTATGAGGTGTGGCTACTGTGACCAACACACCAGCCCTATGGTACATGTATTTCAAATTTGGTTTAGCAAAATTACAAACTAATTTCTTTTAAAAAATTTTTTATTTAAATTGAATTAACATATAGTGTATTATTAGTTTCAGAGGTAGGGTTCAGTGATTCATCAGTCTTATATAACTCCCAGTGCTCATTACATTACGTTCCCACCTTAATGTCCATCACCCTATTACCCCATCCCTCCTAACCCCCTCCCCTCCAGCAACCCTCAGTTTGTTTCTGGTGATTAAGAGTCTCTTATGGTTTGTCTCCCTCTCTGGTTTTGTCTTGTTTTATTTTTCCCTCCCTTCCCCTATGATCCTCTGTTGTGTTTCTTAAATTCCACATTCCACATTTCTCTGATTGACTTATTTCACGTAGCATAATACTCTCTAGTTCCATCCATGTCTACAAACTAATTTCTGTTATGGGTCATCAAAGTCACTCAAGAACAGTAGAAACTGGAGCTGATAATTCAGTGAATGCCCAGGGTCATCTTCTAAGCAATTTTAAGCATCATTGTGAGAATACTCACAATTAGAGGTTAGATGGTCCTCTCATTCTGAAGGTAACACTGCATTTTTCAACCATCAAAACATTTTCAATCTTGGCTTTTACCTTAGAGCCACAGCTTCTTACTGAGTGAGGCAAATATTAAATTTGGCTTCATAGAAAGTCTAGGTTGAAACTACTTTTATACATCCGGCTTTTATGATCTTGTTTTAAGTATAGCAGAACCCACCGTGTGTTTGGTCCCATTCCTGCTATTTTACTGAGAGAAGATACTGTAAACAAGAAATAAAGATAATCTTCACCCTCTTCTCATTGTTGCTTTTCAGGGGATCTATATTTTGAGAAAGCTGTGAATGGTTTCCTTGCTGATCTCTTTACCAAGTGGAAGGTATGTTTCTTATGCACTAAATCTCATTGCATAGACATTACTATTGCAGATTTTAGAAATACACCCACTTCTTTTAAGCTGCCTCTAGTTAAAGTATCTTAGCTAAAGCCTAAATTGATAAAAGTCTAGATTTACATTACTTTAACCACCTCAACATGGTAAAAGTCATTTGTGAGAAACCCACAGCTGACATCAGACTCAATGGTGAAAGACTGAAAACTCTCCCCATTAAGATTTAGGAACATGATAAGGATGCCTGCCTTTACCACTCGTATTCAGTGTTGTAACTAGAAATTCTAGCCACAGCAACTAGGCAAGAAAAAGAAATAGACTGCACCCATATTGGAAAAGAAGAAGTAAAACTACGTCTATTCACAGATGAACTCTTATATGTAGAAAATCCTTAAAAATCCACAAAAAACTGTTAGAACTAATAAATGGATTCAGCAAAGTTCAGGGTACAAAATCAACACACACCATCATTTGTGTTTCATCAGCGATGAATAGTTTGAACAGGAAATTTAAAAACAGAATTAAATTTTAAAAAGAGAATTACATCAAAAAACAATTCCATTTACAAGAGCATCAGAGAGACTCAAATACTTGGGAGTAATTTACCCAAGGAGGTGCACGATTTGTATACTAAAATCTACAAAACTTGCTGAAGTAGATTAACAAAGATCTAAATAAATGAAAAACAACCCATGATCATAGACTGGGAGACTAAATACTGTTAAAGTGGCAATACTACTCAAAAGAAACTGTAGTTCAGTCCCTATCAAAATCCCAACGGCCTTTTTCTTTGCAGAGATGGAAAAGCTGATTCTAAAATTTATGTGCAATAGCAAGGGATCCTGCGTAGCCAAAACAACCTTGAGAGAGAACAACAAAGTTGGAAGACTCTTACTTCCAAATTTCAAAACTTACTACAAAGCTGAAGTAGTCAAAATAGCATGGTACTGGCATAAAGATAGATGATATAAGTCAATGGAATAGAATTGAGAGTACAGAAATCAATCCATACATCTATGGTCAGTTGATTTTAGACAAGGATGTGAAATCCATTCAACGAGGGAAGTCTCTTCAACAAACGGTTCTGAGCCAAATACCCATATGCAAAAGAATGAATTTGGATTCTCACTACACATCCATATACAAAAATTAACTCAAGGTGGGGTGCCTGGGTGTCTCAGTTGGTTAAGCGTCCAACTCGTGATTTCGGCTCAGGTCATAGTCTCAGGGTTGTAAGATCAAGCCCTGCTTTGGGCTTCCTGCTCAGTAGGGAATCTTCCTCTCTCCCTCTCCCTGTGCCCCTGCCCTCGCTCGAGTGCTCTCTGTCTCTCAAATAAATAAATACATCTTAAAAAAAAATTAACTCGGGGCACCTGGGTGGCTCAGTCAGTTAAGCATCTGTCTTGGGCTCAGGTCATGATCCCAGGGTCCTGGGATTCAGTCCCGCATAGGGCTCTCTGCTCAGCGAGAAGCCTGCTTCTCCCTCTTCCTCTGCCTGCTGCTCTGCCTACTTGTGCTCTCTCTCTGTCTGTCATTATGAATAAAATCTTAAAAAAAAAAAAATTAAAAAAATTAACTCAAGGTGGATCAGAGACCTAAATAGGAGAGCTATTTGAGGTCACATTATGTAGTGGAAGAGAGCATGGAGTTTGGATAAAAACAGACTGGGTTTGAAATTATGGTTCTACTCTGATTTGCTTTTTTATCTTGGAGAAGTAGTCAGTCTCCTGGGCCTCTATTCTCTTTTCTGCAAAATGGAGCTAATAATATATTGTTCCTGCTTCACAAGGTGTCTTAAAGCATCTGTACATAGTAAGGTCTCAGTAGGATCCTGGTCTCAATTGAATCTAAGTCCCATCTTCCTCAGCCATACGGGAGCAATGTCCTTCAGCTCTGAAGGGTACAGAAGTAGAAATACAATGCTTGCCCCCAGAGACTTACAGATCTTCTAGGGAGCTTACATCTCTGTATTTGAAGCAATAGCAAACCGTATGTTTTAGGGGTTGAAACTTTATTTACTTTTGAATTTGGGCCTGGAAGGCTGAAGAAGTTTTGGATGGTTGGGAAGGAAGATGGAGAGGGTGTGTCAGATGAACAGTTCGAGCAAAAGGATGTAGACAGGCGTGAGAGTGGGGTGTGGTCTAGGTCACTTCACAGAGGGTTTGTGTGGGGAATAATTAAGTAATGAGATGGATTAGAAGGATAGGGTTGCATCAAGCCAGGCAGTTTTGGACTTGACAGGAAGTGTGGGAGCTATTAAAGATTCTCAAGAGGCCAGTATGATCAAAGTCAGTGAGAATTTGAGAAAGAAGAGTCCAGTGGCCAGGAGCAGTTTGGTGAAGGGACACGCTGGAATTAAGCAGACCAGCCAGGAGGCTTCTGCAGTCATGTGGCTTAACAGTGATCAGGCCTTGGTGTCTTCCTGAGTATGGTACCTGAAGTTTGGGGTGAGCTGAATAATGGTTACCTTGGACCACATAATGGCCATTTCAGTCTGTGAAAACCTTCATTTCAAGTCTGGCTCAGTTGTCTCTTAGATGTCCCCTAACCCAAGATTCTGTAAGTAGATGTATGATTAGATGTAGCTGCAGGATTTGGCATAGGCCCAGTCATTGGTTTACAGGACTTTATTCTTAGGATTTATTTTTTAAAATCAAGAACTTGGTTTTGTTTTATTTTTTATTTTTTAAAGATTTTTATTTGCGAGAGAGAGCTTGAGACAGAGAGAGAGCACACAAGCAGTGGGGAGGGCAGAGGCAGAGGGAGAAGCAGACTCCCTCCTGAGCAGGAGCCTGATGCGGGACTTGATCCCAGGACTCTGGGATCATGACCTGAGCTGAAGGCAGATGCTTAACCGACTGAGGCACCCAGGCGTCCAAGAACTTGGTTTAATTTAATTTAATTTAATTTTTTAAAAAAGATTTTATCAGGGGCGCCTAGATGGCTCAGTCGGTTAAGCGACTGCCATCGGCTCAGGTCATGATCTTGGAGTCCCGGGATCGAGTCCCGCATCGGGCTCCCTGCTCGGCGGGGAGTCTGCTTCTACCTCTGACCCTCCCCCCTCTCATGTACTCGCTCGCTCTCATTCTCTCTCTCAAATAAATAAATAAAATCTTTAAAAAAAAAAAAAAGATTTTATCGGGCGCCTGGGTGGCTCAGTTGGTTAAGCAACTGCCTTCGGCTCAGGTCATGATCCTGGAGTCCCGGGATCGAGTCCCGCATCAGGCTCCCTGCTCAGCAAGGAGTCTGCTTCTCCCTCTCCCGCTCCCCCCTCTTGTGCTTTCTCTCTCTCTCAAATAAAAAAAAAATCTTAAAAAAAAAAAAAAGATTTTATCTATTCATTTGAGAGAGAAAAAAAAATCATGAGCAGGGGAAGAGGTAGAGGGAGAAGCAGACTCCCTGCTGAGCTGGGAGTCCAAAGTGGGGCTCGATCCCAGGACCCTGGGATCATGACCTGAGCTGAAGGCAGATGCTTAACCAACTGAGCCACCCAGGCGCTCAAGAACTTGGTTTTAAAGCAGGAGCTTGAAAATGAATTAAAATAACTTTCTGTAACCACTCTGTATTGATTTAATGATGTTTGGTGAAGGTTGTTTATTCTTTATTCCTCCTGTTTAATAACTTAGAGTTAGCTCTTTGGACAGCAGGATTGAGCATAGGAGTTCATGAATTCATTTCAGAGCCCAAAATATAGTGGTGGGAGTAATAGTAGTAGTCCTAGTTAATATTTATTGATTATTTTGACATACCAGGTATCTTGATAAGTGTTTTGTCCACATTATCTCACTAAACTCTTGCCCCTATAATACAGGTAGGGAAAATATAGCTCAAAGAGGCTGGGTAACTTGCCCATGATCAACAGCATGTAAAAGCAGAATGAGGATTCTAATCTGGTGCCTTCCATTCACCCAGAGCTAGCCTGAGATCATAACCTCTGTGCTGTCCTGTCCTGTCTGTATTACTATAATCCCAGGCCATGTTGCCTTTCATATTTATCCCCGTCATCACATGAGTTGAGAGGCTCATATGGCCACACCAGCCCATTGTAAGGCATTTTTTTTCTGTATATCACTTACACCAAAATCAGGTAAATCTGGAGTTGAGTTTGGAGCTCTGGGCATCCAATAAATTTGTTGGTGGCTAATGAAGATCTGCTCTTTCCTAAGCACTCTGCTCTGGGTGCTGTGGCTTGTATTTAGGAATTTCTGTCCACTTGAGATATATCCATGGGGGAATATAAGGTGGCATGTAATGTACATCATGTTGTGTATATAACCTACATAGTGAATGCAGAATTGTGTAGTCAGTGAGTATGGTGGGTTAGAGATGGGTCACTGTGACAAGCTCTCGTCTTCAAAGATCTGGGAGGAACTGAAACTGGGCTTGCTGGCTCACTGGTGCAAGCCAAATTTCATGCTGTCTGTAAACACCCTATTTCCAGAACCTTGATCTCCAGACTCCATGGAAATGTTTATTCTCACTAGTCCCCATCCCAGTCCAAAGGTACTTCATTGCCTTGGCTTCGACTCCTATATCTCAGATAGCTCCCAAGCCTCATCTTTATGACAGTGGTAGGATGTGGGGATGTGTTTGATTCTCACATCCACCACCATGGGTTTTCTTGTTTCCTAAGCTGCTGTTCTGAAGAAATTTTAAAAACACCATGAAGCAGGTACAAATACCATGATCATTTGACACTGGGCTGATCTAGTTCATGCCAAATCAAGAACTGGGAGATAGTGATCCATACTTATTGGTGATTTGCTGTTTTTAAGTACTTTCTGCATTTCTGGTCACGTAGTGGTAAATTTCAGAGCCAGGACTCAGTCCAGATCTTCTCACTCCAGCAGTGCTGTGTTCATTGCATTATGCAACCTGTAGTTATGTAACATCATTCAAAACAGTGTGCTGCCTCTCCTAAAATTAAGAATATTGTGTTAATGCAGTCTCCTTCATTGTGAAGTGAATGAAATAAACGTGAGCCTCTTTTTCTCTACTTATTCCTAGGAGAAGAACTGTAGTCATGAAGTAACAGTGGTCCTATTTTCTAGAACTTTCTATGAAGCAAAATCTCTTGGTGAGTAAGTCTTTCTCCTATAGTTCTTTTTTGTTAAGCTTGCCTCCTGTTCCTTACATCTTTCCCTTTGCAATGCTCATCTTTCCTACTTTTTCTGTTACGAGCCCAGGGTAAAATGGAAAATCGTACAGTCCATTAGTGGATGCAAGAAGTCTGCGGGCTGTGATTCATCTTAAAGCCAACTTGATATATAATTTTATTCATTAATTTATTTATTTGTTCATTTATTTTGGTGATGCAAATTTTCAACCCAGAAGAGGGAGCATAGAAACTGAATTTCTCTTCTCATTCTGATCTATGTATGTTGTTTCTCTTTTTCAGATGAATTTCCTGAAATAAACCGAGCCTCAATTCGACAGGATCACAAGGGACGGTACTATGAAGACTTTTATAAGTATGTTTGAGTGCTTTGCTATGCCTTTTTTTTTTTTTTTAAGATTTTATTTATTTATTTGAGAGAGAGAGCATGAGCGGGGGCGGGGGGCAGAGGGAAAGGGAGCCTGATGTGGGGCTTGATCCCAGGATCCCAGGATCATGACCCTAGCCAAAGGCAGATGCTTAACCAACTGAGCCACCCAGGCACCGTCTATGCCTTTTTTGTTTGTTTGTTTGTTTCTTTCTTTCTTTCCTAACTTAAAAAAAGTTAACCTTTTCATTTTGGAATAATTCTGGGTTTACAGAGAAGTTGCAAAGATAGCCCAGAGAGAAAGTTCCCAAATACCCTTTACCCAGTTTCCCCTGTTAACATTTCATAACCAAGGTACATTTGTCAAAACTGCAAGATTAGCCCTGGTATATTACTATTAACTAAATTTCAGATGGTTTTCAGATTTCCTCAGTTTTTCTATTTTATGTTCCAGGATCCAACCTAGGATACCACATTGCAGTTAGACTTTCCAAACTTTAATACTGTGAAAAATTTCAAACTCCCAGGAAAGAAGAATAAATAATATAATGAATTCACATACCCAACACCTAGATTTAACAGTTATTATTATGCCATATTTGCTTCATCTGTTTTGTTTGTTTCTTTGTTTTGCTCCATTTGTGTTTTTTTGGCTAGATTTTATTTTAGAGTAAATTATAGATATTGTGACGTTTTTGTTCTTCTGTATATCTAAAAAATAAGGGCATTTTCACATATAACCACAATATCATGGTCACATTGAACAGAGTTAATTCTATAATATCCAATATCTAGTATATATTCAGATTTTATTAATTGTCTCTGAAATAACTTATGTTTGATTTGCTTGTTAAGTCTAAATCTAAAGCAGTTTCACCCTTCCTTTTTTCCCCTAAACATTTGATGTGTTGAAGAATCTGGGTTGTACTGTGCTTCTCCAACTTTCATGTGCATATGAATCACCCCTGGGGATCATGCTGATTCCAGTAAGTTCAGGAGTCCTGGGGTGGGCCTGAGATTCTGCTTGTCTAGCTAGCTCCGTTGCTTGCATAGGTTGGTCTTTGTATCCCATTTTGAGTAGGAAGGCTATAGAAGACCCCTTCTGGATTTGTCTTATTGCATCCTTATGGTGGTGTTTATTTATTTTCTGTAAACCAGAGGCTCCAACTGGGGCAATTTTGCTGCTACTTACCAAGGACATTTGGCACTGTCTAGGGATTTTTTTTTTTTTTTTAATTGTCAAAATGGTGTGGGGGAGGTAGGATGGGGAGGTTGTACAACTGATATCTACTGCACAGAGGCCAGGGATGCTGCTATGCATCCTACAGTGTGCATAGGACAGCCCGAACCACAAAATTACTTAGCCCAAGATACCAGTTGCTGAGGTTGAGAAGCCCTCTCTAAAGACTTGATTGGATTTAGGTTGGACCTTTTTAGTAAGACTTATCTCATTGCTGATGCCCTGTACTTCTCATTGCATCAGCACAGGATGTAGATCAGTCCAGTTGTCCTGACAGTGCCACTGAATAAGGGGACACTTTGTGAGATGATAGAAGCATAGCAGATGCAGTTGGATGGGGTTGCTCAATGGCCTGGAGCTGAACACCCTTGATCTTTTAAATCCTCGGATCCTTGGGGAAGTTTATCATGTGACTATTGGCACTTCAGGTGGATGATAGAATAGATCTCAAGGCTTTAGAAAGCCTTTTGCTTTGTAGGTTTTAGATGGATTGTTTTATTCTTGCCTGAGGTACCAATATTTTTTTTTAAAGATTTTATTTATTTATCTGACAGAGAGAGAGAGCACAAGCAGAGGGAGCCTCAGGCAGAGGGAGAGGGAGAAGCAGGCCCCTCGCTGAGCAGAGAGCCCGACTCGGGGCCGATCCCAGGACCCCGGGATCATGAGCCAAGCCGAAGGCAGACGCTCAACCAACTGAGCCACCCAGGCGCCCCCCCCAGGATTTTATGTTTAAATAAAAAGCAACTCCTTTTATACGAAGCACATTTCCTCATCTTACTATACTTGTTAAAGCCCTTAGAGACTGCTTCTCTCAAACATACTACTCTGTTATTGGTTCAGTCTTGCTGCCTCAGGCTATTTCCTTCTGTAACTAAGAGGAGGAACCCTTTGCTAATTTCCCTTACTACCTCAGACTGGGAAATTAGTGTCTCTGTTTCGCAGAAACACTTTACTATGTGGGTTTGTTTTTTGTCTTGGATGACCAGTCTTCTCCCCTACCCCCAACCTGGAGCCTTAAACATATTTCTTTGTAGCTAGTTCCTTCCCAAGTCCCAAGCCAGCACCAAATGCCAATTTGTATTTTTCCCCCCTTCTCAACTTTGTCATAGTGTTCCTAAAGAAGAAATCTTTTATAACTGTATATATTTTTTTAAATTGTGATTGTGGATAAGCCCCAAAGAGTGACAGAAGTTATGGAAAGTTTTTAGGCAGTTTTTTGGGCAACCTTTTAAAATTTTACAAAAAGTTTTTAATTATGAGAAAGTTGAAGGAGGAATATAATGAATATCTGTATACTTTTCACCAAATTTACTACTTATTAACATTTAATAGACACATGATTATACTTCATTATCTGTCTCCTAAGAATAAGGACATTGTAGAAGAATGTCAGATTTTGCCAATTGTCCTAATATTCCTTCTTGAGGTGTTTTTCCTGATCCAGATTTCTTTATAGAATCATGTATTGTTTTTAGCTTAGATAATTTTCTGTTTGTTTTTACAATATGTTATTGTGAAAATTTTCAAACACAGAGACAAGTTGAATGAATTGTATAGCGAACACTCGTATACCTACCACCTGGGTTCCATAATTACCATTCACTATACTGTTGACCCTTGAACAACATGGGTTTGAACTGCCTGGGTCCACCTATATGTGGATTTTTTCGATAGATACAATACAGTACTGTAAAGGTATTTTCCTTTTTTTTTTTTTTTTTTAAGATTTATTTATTTATTAGAGAGATAGAGCACTCGTGCATGGCAGCAGGGGGAATGGCAGAAGGAGAGGGAGGGAGAGAGGGAAAGAATCTCAAGCAGACTCCCTGCTGAGCACAGAGCCGGACTCAGGGCTCTATCCCACAACCCTGAGATCATGACCTGAGCCGAAATCAAGAGTCAGACGCTCAACTGATTGAGCCACCCAGGACCCCCTCCTTATGATTTTCTTAGTAACACTTTCTTTTGTCCAGCTTATTTTACTGTAAGAATATAGTATAAAGTACCTATAACATACAAAATACATTAATGGACTATTTATGTTATCAGTAAGGCCTCTAGTTAACAGTAGGCTGTTTGTTAGTAGTTAAGTTTTTGAGGAGTCAAAACTTAACGCAGATTTTTGGTTGCACAGGGCAGGGGCGTCAGTGCCTCTAACCCCCATGTTGTTCAAGGGTCAACTCTATTTCCTTTATCACTTATCAGATTACCTTTTTATATCATTTAAGAAATAATGCATCTTTGTAGAAATTTTGAAAAATCTACAGAAGAGCATAAGATAGAAAATAAGAGTGGCTCCACTCTCCCAACTGAGATGGTAATAAGATGGTAATAGTTATCATTTGTATTCTGGACTTACTGTGTATAGGACACTCACTATTCTAAGCACTTTTTAGTATCTTGATTTCATTTAAATATCATAGCATTCCTTGTGATGGTTACTGTTACCCCATTTTACATAGAAACTTGCACACAGAGTTTAAGTAACTTATCCAAAGTCCATGGAAGATTAAGTGATGGAGTATGCACTTGACTCAGAAAGTCTGGTTCAGAGTCTGTGCTTTTGACCACTGTATTCTTCAACCCCATACTGATCATACTTTAATTTATTGGTTGATCTTCTTTTGGGTCCTGTATCCCTGTGGGAATTTCATGAAAGTAATGGGCCATTTCTTACCCCAACAAAACCATTTATCCTTTCATGCTGTTAAATTCTTCATACCACTTCAGTGGATTCCTGGAATCTTTTTATTTTACTTTTTTTTTTAAGATTTTATTTTTAAGTAATCTCTACATGAAATGTGGGGCTTGAACTCATGACCCTTAGATCAAGAGTTGCATGCTCTTCCGATTGAGCCAGCAGCCTCCCCTGATTCCTGGAACCTGAGAACCTCTTTTGGCTTAAGAATATATGAAGTTATTTCTACATAATGAATATGAATGAGTATGAATTCATTTGAGTATAATTATGGACATATTAAAACAGATTGTAGAAAGCATGAATGAGTTACAAATGTAGATTTACCATGTATAGGACTATATCATTAATATATTAAAAATTTCCTCACATCATTAAAAAGTCAACCCCAACATTTTTTAGATCAAAAGAAGCTTTGATTGTGTTTTTCTTACTTAAAAATAATACAGGGGGCACCTGGGTGGCTCAGTCTTTAAGCGTCTGATTGGCTCAGGTCATCATCCCAGGGTTCTGGGATTGAGCCCTGCATCGGGCAACCTGCTCAGCGGGAAGCCTGCTTATCCCTCTCCCACTCCCCCGCTTGTGTTCCCTCTCTTGCTGTGTCTCTCTCTGTCAAATAAATAAAATCTTCAAAAAAAAAATAATAATACAGGTTTATTTTAGGAAAATCACAAAATACAGTTAAGTACAGGGTAATACAATAAAAAACACCCTCAATTCCACTCCCGAGATGCAGTCATCATCACTTGGGTGTATCAAACCCTATTCTCTGCTTATAGAGACAAAAAGTAGTTTTCACAGAGATATGGTCAGACTCCCACGCTTTTTTTACATGATGTTTTAAACCAGCATTTTCCACTTACTACATCACAAATGGCGTTCCCTATCAAATACTCTGTTTCCATAGCATCATTTTTATTGCTATGCAGACATTTCATTTGATTGCTAACTATTATTGAACACTGAAGTGATTTTCAACTTTTCACTATTGTCAAAAGTTCTACCAGTGCATGGTCTTACAGTCTTTAAGCATTACCTTAGTTATAACCTTAGCATAACCTTATAACCTTAGGTATAACCTTATAACTTAGCATAACCTTAAGCATAAACTTAGGATAAGTTCCCAGAAATGGAGTTATTGGGTCAAAGATATTCTAGATCTGTTAAGGCTTTTCATTTGTGTAGCCAAATTGCCTTGCAAAACCATTGAAGTAAAAAAATCCTGTTTTCCCAATAGTCATGTTATTTCTCTGTCCTTGCCAACACTGAATACTATTTTCTTCCTTTTTTTTGACTAGTTCCCAGTTAGAGTGGAAGAAAAGTTAGCACACTGAGTCTTTTTTTTTTTATATTGAAAGTAACATTTATTTATTTGACATATAAGTTTGTTACCTCCCGACTTTTTGATTTGTAAAATATGAAGAATTTTACAAGTTGGATCTCACAATTCCTGCCCTAAGCTGCAGGCAGTTTCCTCCCACCTGCACCATTTACCTTCACCCCACCCACCCCCCTAGCACACTGAGTCTTAATAGTCATTTCTTTTATTACCAAGAGTGAATGTTTTCTCATGCTTATCGGCCTTTGTACTTCTCTTTTGTGAATTGTATATTCATCTTCTTAGCTAATTTTTTCATCTTTTTTGTTTTTTGTCTTATCTCGGGTCTGACTTTGTAATCCAAAGGGAAATACTTTTAATACTGTGGTATGTTTCTCTGGATCTTTTTCTGTTTGGCCCATTTTATTAAGATTTATTTTTTTTATTTTTTAAGTAATCTCTATACCCAATGTGGGACTTAAACCTACAACCCTGAGATCAAGAGTTGCATGCTGTACCAACTGAGCCAGCCAGATGCCCCTGTTTAACCCCTTTAAGTTGAATGATTTTTTTAGCTTGCTTTGTTTTTAATAAAATCAAATATACTCGGGTGAGAATAGCATTGTGAACCTTCATATACCATTACTCATATTAAACGGTTATCAAAGAGGATCATACCATTTTTAATAACTATATAATATTTTGTTGTAGTCTAAAATTTTATCATAATTTAATTATTTATTAGATATTTAATCTTTTTTTTTTAAAAGATTTTATTTATTTATTTGAGAGAGAGAGAATGAGAGACAGAGACCACGAGAGGGAAGAGGGCAGAGGGAGAAGCAGACCCCCTGCTGAGCAGGGAGCCCAATGTGGGACTCGATCCCGGGACTCCAGGATCATGACCTGAGCCGAAGGCAGTCGCTTAACCAACTGAGCCACCCAGGCGCCCAGATATTTAATCTTTTTCTGATGTTTTAAAAAAGATTTATTTCTTAGAGAGAGAGAGAGAACAAGCAGGAGAGGTAGAGGGAGAGAAAATCTCAAGCAGACTCCATGCTGAGCGCAGGGCCCAATGTGGGGCTTGATCTCTTGACCCTGAGATCACGACCTGAGCCGAAACCAGGAGTTGGACGCTTAATCGGCTGTGCCACCCAGGCGCCCCAGTCTTTTTCTAATTTTTTTAATTGATCTCTGTCTGCTGTAATAGATACATAGTTATGCATTCCTAAGTCTTTCTTGCTTTTTTTTTAAATTAAGACTTTAATTTTTTTAGAGCAGTTTTGGGTTCCTAGCAAAATTGAGAGAAGGTACAGGGATTTCCCATACACTCTCTCTACCAACACCTACATAATGCCCTTCTCATCATTATCAACATCCTTTACCAGAGTGATGCCTTCGTTACAACTAATGAACCTATACAGATATACTGTAATCACTGAAAATCCATAGTTTATCTTAGGACTTGCTCTTGGTATTTTACACTCTGTGGGCTTGGACAAATATTTAGTGACATGTCTCCATCATTATAGTATCTTACAGAGTATTTTCACTGCCCTAAAAATCCTCAGTGTTCCACTTACTCATCCCTTCCCCCAAACCCCTAGCCCCTGGCAACCACTGATTTTTTTAGAGTCCGTATAGTTTTCCTTTTTCCAGAAAGTCATGTAGTTGGAATCATACAGTATGTAACCTTTTCAGGTTGGCTTCTTTAGCTTAGTAATATGCATTTAAAGTTCCTTCATGTCTCGTCATGGCTCAATAGCTCGTTTCTTTTTAGCACTCAATAGTATTCTATTGTCTGGATATACAATTTTGTTTATCCATTCATCTGCTGAAGGGCATCTTGGTTGCTTTCAAGTTTTGGCAATTATAAATAAGGCTTCTATAAACATCCATGTGTAGTTTTTGGTGTGGACCTAAGTTTTCAACTCCTTTGGGCACATACCAAAGAGTATGATTGCTAGATCATATGATAGGAGTATGTTTAGTATTGTAAGAAACCACCAAACTGTCTTCCAAAGTGGCTGTGTTATTTTGCATTCCCACCAGCAGTGAATGAAAGTTTCTATTGCTTCACATCCTCACCAACATTTGGTGTTGTCAGTGTTCTGGATTTCGACCATCCTAATAAATATATAGTGGTCCCTTATTGTTGTTTTAATTTGCATTTCCCCTTATGATGTCATGTGGAGCATCTTTTCATATGCTTATTTGCCATGTGTGTATCCTCTTTGGTGAGGTGTCTGTTTAGGTGTTCTGCCCATTTTTAAATTGGGTTGTTTGTTTTCTTATTGTTGACTTTTAAGGGTTCTTTGTGTATTTTGGATGACAGTCCTTTATCAAATGTGTCTTTTGCCAACATTTTCTTCTAGTCTGTGGCTTGTCTTCTCATTCTCTTGACACTGTCTTTTCCAGAGCAGAAGTTTTTAAATTTCAATAAGGTCTAGCTTATCAATTTTTTTCTTTCATGGATGTGGCTTTGGTGTTGAATCTAAAAAGTTATCATCTTACCCAGGGTCATCTAGGTTTTGTGCTATGTTATTTTTTAGGAGTTTTATAGTTTTTCGTTTTATATTTAGGTCTATGATCTATTTTGAGTTGGTTTTTAAAATTTTTTCTGCCAAAACCCAGGATCGAACCATATTTTTTAGTTAATTTTTATGAAGAGTGTAAAGTCTGTGTCTAGCTTCTTTTTTTTTTTTTTTTTGCCTGTGGATGTCCAGTTGTTCCGGCACCATTTGTTGAAAAGAATATCTTTGTTCCATTGTGTTATCTTTGCTTCTTTGTCAAAGATCTGTTGATATATTTTGGGGATTCTATTTCTGGGTCCTCTATTCTGTTCCATTAGTCTGTTTGTCTACACTTCCACCAATGCCACACTGTCTTGATTACTATAGCTTCTTGAAGTTGGATGATCTTAGTCCTCCAGCTTTGTTCTTCTCCTTCAATATTGGGTTGGCTATTCTGGATCCTGTGTGTTTCTTTTCTTTTCTTTTTAAGATTTATTTATTTATTTTAGAGGAGGGGGAGTGGGGGCGGTAAGGGCACGGGAAGAGGGAGAGAGAGTCTTAAGCAGACTCAGTGATGAGACTACCTGAGCTGAAACCAAGAGTCAGACACTTAACTGACTCTGCTACCCAGGCGCCCCCCTGTGTGTGTGTGTGTTTCTTTCTTTCTTTCTTTCTTAAAAAGATTTTATTTATTTACTTGAGAGAGAGAGAGAGAGAAATATCAAAAGAACATGTGCAGGGGCGGGGGAGAGGGAGAAGCAGCGCCCCCCACTGTGTATTTCTTTAGGATATGTTCCTAGCATTAACATTACTAGATTAATGCAAATGTATATTTTTTCATTTACATTTACATTTTATTTTTTGTAATACAGTCCCATGGTTCAAAAATTGTAAGGTTCAGAAGGTCTACAGTAAACAGATTCCCACCCATCCCTTCTTTTTTTTTTTAAGATTTTAATTTTAAGGGGCACCTGGGTGGCTCAGTCCGTTAAGCCTCTGCCTTCAGCTCAGGTCATGATCTCAGGGTCCTGGGATTGAGCCCTTCGTCTTCCCTGCTCAGCAGGGAGCCTGCTTATCCCTCTCCCCTGCCCCTGCTCAAGCTCCCTCTCTATGTTAAATAAATAAATATATTTTATTATATATATTTATAAATTTATATATAAAATATATAAGTATATTATATATAATATATAAATATAATAAATATATTTATATAAGTAAATATAAATTTATATAAATTTATATATAAAATAAATATATAATATATATTTATTATGATAAATAAACTTATTTGACAGAGACAAAGCGAGAGAGGGAGCACAAGCAGGGGGAGTAGGAGAGGGAGAAGCAGGCTTCCCGCTGAGCAGGGAGCCCGATGTGGGGCTCAATCCCAGAACTCTGGGATCATGACCTGAGCCGAAGGCAGACGCTTAATGACCAAGCTGCCCAGGCACCCCAATAAATAAAATCTTAAAAAATTTTTTTTATTTTTAAGTAATCTCCACACTCAAAGTGGGGCTCCAATTTACAACCCTGAGCCAGCCAGGTGCCCCATTTTTATTTTTATTTGTTTTTAAAGATTTTATTTTTAAGTAATCTCTATACCCAGCATGAGGCTCAAACTGACAACCCTAGATCAAGAGTCTCATGCTCCACTGAGTGAGCCAGCAAGGCTCCCCCCCAACCCATCCCTATCTACTAATCTAGTTCCCTGACCTAGACGTGTTTATTGGATATGTATGTAAAACATACATATAGATGTTTTCTTTTAGGCTTTTTATATACCACCTAATTGTAATTCAGTGTGTGAAAATTTCATATTCCTACTCAATGCTAGGCATTAATATAATCTCAAGGCAATTTTTAAATATTTTATTTTTGTTTTCAGTCTTTGTGACTATTGATGTGATTAGTTTTCTTTGTTAATGTTTATTACGTGCATTTGACTTTAATACTTATTATTGCATGGTAAGTTACCCTAACCTTGGGATTCCCATCTTCTCCTTTCCTCCGAAACCGTGTGAGGGGCCTGATGTATGTAATAGCTGTTCAGTATTTTATGACAATATTCCTTTCAGAGTGGTGGTGCAGAATGAGAGGAGAGAAGAGTGGACCTCACTCCTTGTGACCATTAAAAAACTCTTCATCCAGTATCCAGTGTTGGTGCGACTGGAACAGGCAGGTACTGCATTCATATGGTAGGAGGTGTGGCAGGGAAAGGAGGTGCAGGATGGGAGCTAGGAGATGAAGAGGTTCATGCTTGCTTCCCTCCCAGTGCTGGGCCTAGTTTCTGCTTCTGGTCAGGTTCCTATTTCCAGTTGGGTCCAGTTGTTCTTTAGGTATGCAGTGAGTTCAATAATGTCCCTACTACAGGGTGGCGGGCCCTGTGGAGCCACTTTCCACTTGTTCTTTTAGAGTTCATCTTACATGGGATACTTTTCCTCTCTCATGTCTTTTGCTTCAGAGGGTTTTCCTCAAGGAGACAATTCTACCTCAGCACAAGGAAACTACTTAGAGGCCATCAATCTGTCATTCAATGGTGAGTAAGGATACTAGTCATGGTGAGCTGGCATCTTGTGTACCACATGGCTATGAACTTCTTTTTACTAATGTCCAAAGACCCAAACCAGTTGATAATCTCCCCACCTACCTACCCCAAAGATTAATTGAAAGCAGTAACTTCTGATTGGATGGTTTTAATGGCCAACATTTAGCTTTTGGGTCTACTTTTGGGAATTAACTTGCTGTTCTCATCTGCTTCTCATGGTAACCTGAGAATAAAGAGCTAGAAGGAATCTTCCTTGGGCTGTTTTACTAAAACTGTCTTCTTGCTGTTTTCTACTCCATCCCTCAATTGCTTCTAGGTAATTAAAAAAAAATTTGTTTTAATATACAAAAAGAACTCATTGTTCCTAGAATTCTAATAATCAGAGGTATATCAGGTAAAAATGAAGGTCTCCCCCCTCCCTCTACTGTCATTTCCCTTCTAAGAGGGAACCTTGTTAACAGCGTGGTGTGATTTCTTCTGAAGGTTTGTTCCTGCATTTATATGTTAGCTGATAATGCTTTGTTTGCAAATAACAGAAACGTACTGAATTGGTGTACACAAAAAGGGAAATTTACTCTCAGGATATAGGGACCTGGTGGGGCTACCAGGAAAGGCTTGAACATCATGCAGAAGAAGGTGGGGACCAAGGTGGCTCCAGAAACTGCAAAAGCAGGTATTCCTAGAACAGTGTTCAGCTCCCAGCTCTGCTGTCAGCTCTCTCCTCTCTGTTCAGAATTCCGTGTTCCCAGCAGGGCCTGATCAGCCCAGCTTTGGTTAGGCATCCATTGGCACTGGCCAGCGGTGGAAGTGATGATGTGTGGTCACTTCACTGTGCATATAACCTGCCCATGTGTCTACACCCAGGTGCCAGGGATTCTAAAGCACAGGGTGTTGTCTTAGTGAATCTTTTTGTCATATTGGAATATCTTTGGTTTTCTAAAATCAGGATTATATAGGACAGAAATAAAAATTAACTTGCCAGATTTACAAAGTCCACTCTTTTAAATATTGTCTTAAATTAATATTTGATTTTTGTGAATTTCAATACAGACTCATTTATGGATTGTTTAAATTTAAACGACATGAAACTTGAGCATTTAATGCTGCTCAAGGCAAGTATTAGGCATCAATGAGGGGGTGTTAGTAAAGGCAACAGTGACATAGTCTTGTGTTCAAGCAGTTCTTAATGTAGATGGGGAGAGACAGATGTGCACACGACTAACTAGAATTCAGGTCAGAATGTGTCTGTTGCTGCAATAGAAACATGGACAAAATACTCCGAGGGCACAGAGAGGCTCGCCAGTGGTTGGTTTCTGAAAAGCTGTAACCTCTTCATTTGAGAACTTTTGCTTTCTTTCAAGTGTTTGACAAGCACTACATCAACCGCAACTTTGACCGGACTGGGCAGATGTCTGTGGTGATCACTCCTGGGGTAGGTGTGTTTGAAGTGGACCGTCTACTCATGATCTTGACCAAGCAGCGGATGATAGATAACGGTAATGCTCCCTGGTTTGTGCTGTCTCCCGAGTGTTTATAGCCTGACTTACCCTTAGAACTCTGAGCTCTCCCTGGCTAGAGATCCTGGAGATGTGAATAATGTTAGGGGACAAAAAAAGTTCCATGGTCAAGTCGGTTTGGGAAATGCTGGGTCATACACAGTTTAGGCAGATTCTCTAATTGCAGGTCTTAATGTGTTAGTGTATCATGTCTATCGCTAATGGTACTCAGAGTTTCACAAACATATATGACACTGGAGAACTCTTTTTGGGGGGATTGTTTCAAGTGACCAGTGTGCCATCAGTCTGCCTTGGGGAGGACCGTCAGCTCTTTGGATCCAGGCCTCCCTCCATGATGTGCCATGCTTCCCCACCTTGTACCCCTGGCCTCATTAAATTTGTGCTTCAACGACAAGATGGAGGTGGACTGTAAATCCTGATTGTCCATAAAGAAGCTCCATTAAATGATATGGATTGTTTTGCTTTTTTCCTGAAATAACAAGGTTCCTTTTCCTTTCTGGCCTCGAAACTTTAGTCATGGAGGCCTGGGTTGTCTTTTTGACAAATCATCATCTACAAAGTGGTCAAAGGCTAATTGTCAAGCATTCAGTAATTGCAGGCTGTGATGGGACCTGGTAAAGTGGAAAGAGACAAAATGCCTCTATTTACTTCTTTGCTATGTAGGCAAATGAGGTTATAAATCATAGGATGGGAAGTCGGCTTTGCCTCATACCCTGACCCAGTTCAATAGTACTGTTAATAGATTGGGACACTTATCTCTACTTCTTTTCACCCCCACCCCAAACTCTTTTTGTCTTTTTTTTAGGAATTGGTGTGGACTTGGTGTGCATGGGGGAGCAGCCATTACATGCTGTCCCGTTGTTCAAGGTGATTCGATTTTGGATTGCTTCCTAAAGGCCAGTTCCTAGTACTAGGGTGATCTTGAGAATACTTCAGAACAGGAAAGTTCCTTGTTTTCTAGCTGATCTGTGCACTGGCTTTTTCCCTTCTAGCTACATAATCGAAGTGCGCCTTGTGATTCTCGTCTGGGTGATGACTATAATATTCCTCACTGGATAAACCACAGGTGGGTGTGACCTTGATTCGTGGTAGGTGATACGGGTTTTGAATAACTTCCTTGCCATTTTCTCTTCACATCTGTTAAGTTCTTACGATAAAACTTTTTCGTTAAGAAAATGCGGAAACCAAAGTTCCAACATTTGCTTAGGGCTTCTGTACGTGCAAAGCAGTGGCAGTAATGTAAGAACAGTCTAGGGTGAAAAAAATAAAGGCAAATTCGAAGGACTTATTTCTATTATTAGCCCCAGCTCCTACGATTCCCAGCTCCCACAGATCATAGCAGATGAACATTGTGCCTGGCATTCTGTTTGTGGAAAAATCCCCATGCCTCTTCTTCACATGGGACAAGGCCTCAGTGTTTCTGCTGATTGAGGCTCATGCCTCTGTGTGGAGTGTCTTATGACTCTGTCATTGCCACTGCCTTGTCCCATCCTCATCTTTTTGAATAACTGCAATCATCTTTTTATTTTTTTTTTAAAGATTTTATTTATTTATTTGACAGAGAGAGAGAGCACAAGCAGGGGGAGCGGGAGAGGGAGAAGCAGGTTCCCCACTGAGCAGGGCGCCTGATGCGGGGCTCGATCCCATCACCTGGGATCATGACCTGAGCCGAAGGCAGACGCTCAACAGACTGAGCCACCCAGGCGCCCTGAATTACTGCAATAATCTTAATAGTGTGTCTATTTCTGATCTCTCTCCTTCAGTCCATCCTTTAGATCAGGGTTTCTCAACCTTGACACTACTGACATTTTGGGCCAGATCATCTTTGTTGTGGGGGGGCTGCCCTGTGCATTGTAGGATGTTGAGCAGCATTCCCGACCTCCAACCACCAGATGCCAACAGGACCCAGCCCCAGGGTGACGACCAAAATGTCTGCAAGAACCGTAGTTAAGTTTCCTTTCAAAATTTTCCTATCAAAAAACCTGGAGAGAGTTAAACTGTTTCTTTGAAATTTTCTGGTAGAGCTCATAACCTCCTGGAAACTAACTGTGAGAACTAGATAACCTCAAACCTGCCAAAAGTGAAAAGCCTTGGGCTATTACTTCTTTTTAATGTTTTATGATTTTTAAAAATTCCTGCAGGCTTATGGAAAGTGCAATTGAAACCATTGGAAACTGGGGAGGGAAATCATTTAGACTAAAAAACAACAAAATAAAAAAAATCAAATGTCTGCTGCATTGCCACATGCCTCCTGGGTGGCAGAATGCCCCCTTGTTCCGCACTCCCACCCCCCATTGAGAATCAGTTCTTTGGACCAGTGGTTTTCTTCTTTCCTTTCTAATTTTTTTTCTTAAGCACCAGGTACCCCCTCCTCCTCTTTTTTTTTTAAGTAAAAGTCTTACTTGCAACCAAATATAAGATAGTGAAAAAGTACTCTGTGTCCTAATGTAGTAGGCCTGGATGTCGCACCAGGGAACCCCAGGGATCTGGGGACCAGCATCTGTCAGTTGCTGCTCTACCTGGTTGCCGAAGTCATTTCATGAAAACTAAGTCCTGTTGCTCTTTTTCTCTGATTCCTCACACCATCCTGATGAAGACTAAAGTGTTTGACATCCGAGGCCTTCTCTCCCACCTCTTGCTGTCTTTTATCCTGCATAGCAGATGCACACTTCTCCCACTTCTGGGCCTTTCCACCTAGAGAGCCTCTCCACCTGCCCTCTTCCTCGCAAATGCCTATTTATCCTCTAAAACCCGGCCCCAACATCTCTCTTCTGTGAGTTCTTCCTGTGCTATCCTGGAGAGCCAATAGCCACTTCCTCTTTAGTGCTTCTAGAGCATTCTGCCCTTCTCTGGATTTCTGTTTTAAGCTGGCACTCCACGAGGGGCAGAAGACTGCTTGGCTGTGCCCCAAGCTAAACAGAACCTTTAATTCTGTCTTCTGTTTAGTTGCAAATCTTTGCTGGAGACCAGCCTGAAAATTCATCACAAATGTTGATTCCGGCCTTGTAGTTTTTCCTTTACCTTTGTTATGGGCCTTGTTGCCCTTGTATGGTAGTTGCTCCCAGTCAGCTCTAATCATTCGTAGGTGCAGAATCAAGAAGGAATAGTGGTTTGGCCAGCTGTGTAAGGATGGTCTGGTCACCCAGTAATTACCCTGTTCTGAGTATGCCTCTTCTTTCTCAGCCCAGTGAGAGACTCTGGCTGGTCATACATGTGATTCTGTTACGTACATGTATGTGTAACTGTTCAGTGATGCTCAGTTTTGTATGTTGTCATTGCATTGCTTGACGAGGTCACTTTAAGACAAAGTGCCTGCTTCCTAAGAAGATGCCTTCAGAATCTTCCTCGTCTTGTGTTTATGTTACTGCCATTTTATTTATTTATTTATTTATTTATTTTGTAAAGATTTTATTTATTTATTTGAGACAGAGAGAATGAGAGACAGCATGAAAGGGAGGAGGGTCAGAGGGAGAAGCAGACTCCCTGCCGAGCAGGGAGCCTGATGTGGGACTCGATCCTGGGACTCCAGGATCATGACCTGAGCCGAAGGCAGTCGCTTAACCAACTGAGCCACCCAGGCGCCCCTGTTACTGCCATTTTAAAAACTTGGTTCAAGTAAAATAGTATTTTGAACTTTTTTGTTTTTTCACTTATTCCAGAGAGCAATGTATCTTCTTTTTTGTCAGCCCTCTAATTAGTTTTGGCTTTGTAATCTTTGAATAGACATTCAGATTCTTTTGCCCATAAGAAAACAGCTACTGTTTAATTATACACCATATTTCATGGTTTTATGTTTAGTTTAGGAAATGATTAAAGGACAGAGTAGCTATAGCACCCAAAAATATATGAATTTAAACACTGTAATTTCCTCAAATTTTAATTAATAATAACTTGAAGTTTTCCCGATTCATCACTTTATTTTTCATGCCAAATTGGCTCTCTGATGCCATTTAAGATGGACAATAGATTCACACAGGTGGGGCTTCAGAATCTGAGAGCTGGGATGGCCTGAGGCCTGCTTTTCACTTCTCACTGTGAGCCTTGTTTGCTTGAGCCAGGCAGGGACAGGAGCAAAGAGGGCTCATGGCCTGAGATGCACGGCTGCTCATAGAGGCCATTGTTCTCATCCTGTCCACGAGCCTCTTCAGAAGTGTCCCACAAGGCCAGAGAGCTTACCTGAAGCATAATCAAATTGTCTTCAGTGAAAAATTATCACTCTCAAAGTATTGTTGGTTAGTAATGAAAATTGATCCAAAAAGTAAATTAATAGCAGATATATGTTATAAAACTGGGATATCACAGACTATCCCTGGAGTCTGTTTTAGAGATCATAGAGACCCTCCAATCACACTGTATAGGAGAGGAACCCGAGTTCCAGAGAGGTAAAGTGGCTTGCAAGGGTTGAACAGCAAGTTCATGGCAAAGCTGAAGCTATTGGTTTAACCATTTGAAATTGTGATAGTAGACTGGTTTTGACCTTCAAATACAGCAACTTCATGTGGATAAATCTAATAGAAACCCATTCTTCTGGCTCATATCACTTTTCCACACAAATCTTTTTATTTATTTATATTTTTTTCAAATTTTTATTCAAATTCTAGTTAACATATAGTGTAATACTGGTTTCAGGAATAGAATTTAGTGATTCATCACTTCCACTCAGATCTTTTGTCATTAATATCTGGAAAGAAAGCAGCATCCTCTACCCAGTACTTTACTTGGTACCACTTGAGGGGGCCAAGTGCCAGGGGCTGGTTAGACTCCAGGTCTGACTGCAGTTAGTATTCTTATGTTCTTGTGCACATGAAGTGTTAGATAGTTACTGGGATTGCCCTACAGTCCACTGGTTATCTATTGATACTGCCTTTTTTTTTTTTTTTTTTTTTGCCTATGATCAGAGTTATGATGGAAGGTGGGGATTGGTTAGTATTCAAAACATCTTTCCCATAAGTTAATTATAGATCAAAGAGAACAGAGAGACATGCCTGAGAAATGGAAAAAGCTGTACAGCCTCTATTTACTCATTCATTCAGTATGCCCAGGGCCAGCTTGGGTCCCCCAGTTTTCTTTTGTGCCTGACATGACTGCATTAAGGTATAATTTTCAGAGGGGTAGGAATTTGATGGTTTGTGCCTCCTCTTCTCTTCTCTTCTCTTCTCTTCTCTTCTCTTCTCTTCTCTTCTCTTCTCTTCTCTTCTCTTCTCCTCCTCTTCTCTTCTCTTCAGGTAGGCTCCATGGCCAGGGTGGAGCCCAGTGCAGGGCTTGAACTCACAACCCTGAGATCGAGACCTGAGCTAAGATCGAGTCAGATGCTCAATGGACTGAGCCACCCCCGTGGCATATTTTCTTGAGACCACTTTTTTCTTACCTGAGTTATTCTTGCTTACCAAATGCCATTCAACCCATGAGTGATAAGGACCACCCTTGGGCCCAGCATCATGCTGAGTATCAAGATGCAAAAGTATCATGGTATAAATAGATTTAATCCCTGTCACAAGGAGGAGAGTCTTGTCCAGTTAAGAATCAGGCCTAGCGTGAAGTAGTTTATGGAGAATAAAGAACAGTAATTAAAACCATATGTTTAATGTTTATAGTAACTACAGAACAAGTTAGAATTGGGGGAATCTGTGAAGCCTGAGACATAGGCAGTCACGAGAGAGCTAATCCACGGCTGGGGTTTTAACTGTGTCTTGAAGTTTAAAATGAAAGGCGCTTAGATTAATGACCCTTTTTTCTTTCACAGTTTCTATACGTCCAAAAGCCAGCTCTTTTGTAACAGTTTCACCCCACGAATAAAACTGGCAGGAAAGAAGGTAGGTGTCACCAACTTGCAGCGCCTTCAGGGACTGTCACTCATGTTTATTTTGGTCCCGAGATAAGCCCTTCTCCCCCCATAGTCATTAATAAGTTTAAGATATTTGTCTTAGAACTTTATGATTTTCCACATTAAATACATCAATAACAAGGCATACCCTCAGACTGTAAGAAATATCCTTGGGAAAAGTATGACAATTATTTGTAGTTCCTTAATAATGAAAGAGTTATTCTTGTTATGATGTCACTGGTTTATTCAGACACTGGGACCTCTCAGGTACCTTTGGGGACAAAGACGTGAGCATGCATTGCAGCAAAGGGGAATATGATGAAAAGATCAAATCTTAGCAGTAAAAAAATTCAAACAGGAATTGGATTATCTCACCAAATGGGTTTATTTTACTTTATTTTTAAAAGATTTTATTTTTAGGTAATTGCTACACCCAACGTGGGGCTTGAACTTACAACCCTGAGGTCAAGAGTCGCATGCTGTACGGACTGAGCCAGCCATGTGCCCCTGCTTACCAAATAGGCTTAAAACAAAATAATTATACCAAGTCCTGGAAAAAGTGGTGAAATTGGTGCTTGAGTACCTGGTTGGTGTACCACATACTTATGAAAGGCAGTTCAACCGTGTGTATCAAGAGCAGTGCAAATATTCATGCCACTTGATCAGATAATTCCATTTTGGGCCATGTGGTCTAAGGAAATAACCGAGGATGTTGAATGCGAATAAGGTCTTTGTCCTGTATTATTTATAATAGTGAGAAGTTGAAAATAATAGGGAAATGACTAAATAAACCATGAGATACCCACTTGATGGAATATATTCACAGCCAGTAAAAATGCCAGTTTTAAGAACCTTCAAGGGTATGTTTGATGTAAGATGAAGAGAAAAGCAGAGTGTTAGGTATATAGGTGGCATACCAGGGTGCTCTCACCCATCTGCCCGTTTCTAGCAGAGCTGAACTCTGAAAGCTGTCCCATTGTGGCTGTGTTAGTGGTATCAGGGCCATTTCTTCCTTTTTGGGGGTAATGGGGAGTTAATGTTATTTGTCTAATAAGGAAAATGTTAATTTGGAGGACTGTGAGGATTCCTCCTGAAATAGACCATGTCAAGTAGTGAAGTGCTGACAGAAAGGGACTCTGCCCAGAAAGGGCACCTCCTGCCCTCTCATCACAACCTTTTATGCCTTTATCACAACCCTTCTGGGCAAAGTGGAACACAGAGGAACTTCTCTGCAACATGATCATTTTGTCTTTTTTTTTTTTAAGATTTATGTATTTGAGAGCGCACACACACGTGTGTGAGCGGGGGAGGAGGGGCAGTGGCAGAGAGAATCTCCAGCAGACTCCCTGCCAAGCGCAGAGCCTGATGTGGAGCTTGATCTTATGACCCTGAGATCATGACCTGAGCTGAAATCAAGAGGTGGACGCCTAACCGACTGAGCCACCAGGCGCCCCTGCAACATAATCGTTTTAAAGAAGAAAGAATGAGTATTGTTACGAAAGTTTAAAGGGTCCTGAAAAAGATTTATTTGGGAAAAAAAAAAGCAGCTCTTTCCATTTTCTCTCTGCCTCTGTACGCCATTTCAGCAAATTGGGTGATCCACTGAGTGCTGAGCTCTTGTAGGTGTAGGCAGACTGGTGAGAGTACCATGGTGAAGGGGGAAGCGTGCATGTGGGGCTTGGGGTCAGGTAGAAGCTAGCCATGGTAGGACATACATGCCAGTGGACTGACCAAGAGCATGAAGGGCTGGGCTTGGATTTTGGCTCTTCCACCTACTAACAGTGTAACTTTGAGCAAGTCCCCTTTTCTCTCTAGAATTGAATATCCTTGCCTGTAAGGTGGGGTGTAATGCCCCCATTGGATAGAGTTTTGAGGGTGACCAAGGTGTGAGGTGGGCCTAATAGGGCCTGACACTGAGGTGGGTGGGCATCAAGTGTTCCCTCCTGCCTTTCCATCAGTTACAGTGAGGGGGTAAGGCATGGTCCCTTCCCTGGAGAGCAGCCACCTACATATTGTATCTTTTGAGAAGTTCTATTCTGGCAGAGGAGGGAGTGATTAATTATCTATTTAATTTTACAGCCTGCCTCTGAGAAAGCAAAAAATGGCCGTGATACATGTGAGTATTTTTGAGATCTCCTTTCATCCCTTTTAGAAAGAGTCGCTAAGCCATAGCAACAAGATTATGTGAGGTCATATAAACAGTTCATAGCCAAGTTGGGAGACTTGAGTTCCCTTTGGAAGGTCCCTTAACCACTTTGTATATTTTGTCCCGTCAACTGCAAAATTAATGGTGACAAACCTTGTTTTTCTTTTCCATAGGTCAGTTATAGGGATTGGGTAGAAAATTTTAAAGTACTAACCGCACTGCATATTAAGATGATCTTTTTTAAGTGGGATCACAGAAGAATGAAATACCACCAAAATCTTCCCTTTATTTAGTGCTATACTATTTTTAAAAGATGTTTTATTTATTTATTTTGAGAGAGAGAGAGACTCTAAAGTGGACTCTACACTGAGTGCGAAGCCCGATGCGGGGCTTGATCTCACGACTGTGAGATCATGACCTGAGCCAAAATCAAGAGTCGGATGCTTAACTGACTGAGCCACCCAGGTGCCCTAGTGCTAATGTTATTTTCTATGTCACTTTGACATGTAAGTCATTTAATTTCAGCAACCCCCACTTTTCTCAGGGGGACATGATGGTGATCATCTGTGCCTTGCAGATTTTGATGAAGGCCCTCTGAAGGCATCTGGTTGAAATGTGTTTTAATGACAATTCGTGTGATTTATGCATTTCAGCTCTTGGGACTCCAAAAGAATCTGAGAACGCCCTTCCCATCCAAGTAGATTATGATGCCTACGACGCCCAAGTGTTCAGGCTGCCAGGCCCGTCCCGGGCTCAGCGCCTCGCCACCTGCAGGTTTTTTGCCAGATTCACTTTGGGGTGTATACAAAAATTGCTTGGGAAAACCTGAGGGCCTCTTGGGACCTTCATGAGAGCAACCCTGAAAATGTTTAAAATTAAAATTAGCCAATGGAAGCTATCCCATGTAGATCATTGGGGATTCTGTTTCCAGGTTCTCTGGCCCACCCATTTTGTTAGCTATATTTGTGGGAAGTATTTTCCCCAAATAAAGAGAGTGTTCCTCTGCTTTTTCTAACCAAGAGAAATAATTCACAGATTCTAGAATCTTTTTCTCACTGGGCTGCCAATTTTTTGGGTTTTTTATTCCCAGAAGGCAAGAGACCTTTCTTTAATTGCCTTTTAAATTTGCTCCATGGTATTTGGTCATATGATAGTCTTTAACTGTGATGTAGTTAGATTTACCAATGTATTCATTTCTGAGTATTATGTAAAAAAATACCATCCCTATCCCAGGGCTTCCCCCCACCCCCCACCAGTGGACCAAATACCATGAGTCCATTTTCCAGATTTCTTATATATGCAAGTTTATTTAAGCACAATGATTGGAAGAATATGCATCCCTTCACATTGATAAATGAGCTTATAGTGGCCATATGATTGTCTCCTGTCCTTTTTCCTCATCTCATCCTAAGATGAAAACATTTAGAGCTCAGACAAAACATTTCCTAAATGTTGAGAACATTTAGTGCCGTTAACTACAGCTCTCCCACACATAGATGCTGCTTAGGCGCTCGGTAGTGCTTTCCTTTGGAGTATTTTTTTTTTTTTTGAGATTTTTATGTTTTTGACAGAGAGAGACACAGCGAGAGAGGGAACACAAGCAGGGGGAGAGGGAGAAGCAGGCTTCCTGCTGAGCAGGGAGCCCGACTCGGCGCTCGATCCCAGGACCCTGGGGTCATGACCTGAGACGAAGGCAGACGCTTAACGACTGAGCCACCCAGGCACCCCTCCTTTGGAGTATTTAAGAATGCTTTCATGGTCCAAGATCCTTGGTTTTCTTTTTTCTAATCAAAGTTGGCAAGACCTGGTATTTCAGAGACTTGGGTTATGTGTTCCCTGAGGGAGCAGACCATGTTTTAATTGGTGCTCTGTCCCCTGTGCAGGACTGCGCATACACTGGTGTTCAAATGTTTACTGTTGCAATAGTGTACATATGGTCAGCCCAGGGGATCTGTGTTCAGGCTGTTTAAGCTCTGACTTAAGACAAAATCTTTCCAGGTGGAAAGAGAACAGCTCTGATGCCAGAGGGAAAGCCCTCTCTATAGGTGCTAACTTTTCCATTCTGAATTTTTGTCTCCCCATTGGGCTTCTCCCCTTTTGATCCTTCCTCCTACTGCTTCCAGAGTTTTCCCCCTTAGGGAGTTTTATGTTTTAATAAGGGTATACTGTTTTTTAAACCTTTATTAAGGAAATGTTTGAACATGGTCAAATAGAGTAGTATAATGAAGAGTGATCAGTGTCTTGTCAGACTCATTTCATTACTTTCCCCACATTTTACATTTTGCTTGAGTATTCTAAAGCAAAACCTTTTTTTAAACCTGTAAATACCATAGTGTATGTCTCTAACAGATAAGAATTAAATAATCACAAGTACCAGAATTAACACTAATTCTTTAATATCTTCTAATAGCCAGTCTATATTCAGATTTCCCAATTGTTTCAAAAATGTGTTTTTACAGTTGGTTGGTTTGAATTGGGATCTGAAGAAGATGCAGACATTGCATTTAATTGGAATGTCTTTTTTCTGTAACTGTAGATTGTGTTGCTTTCTTCATTTGGCTGATTGTTGTGTTACAATGTTTAACTTGTCCTCTCTTCTCTGGATTTCCTATAAACTAGCAATTACCTTCAGAGGCTTGATTAGATTTAGGCTCAGTTTTTCGTGCAGGAAGACTCTTGAGGTGGCACTGTGTACTTTGTCTTGCATCATATCATATCCTGCTTAGTTGCCCCGTTTTCAGTGATATGAGATGGATCGGTGGGGATCAACTAGGGTTGGACTGGAGCCGTCACGGCTTTATAGCTATGACCCCAGGACTTGGGCCATTTGAAAACGGTCAGTTCTTACACAACGTCTCAAGCTGGTCAAGCAAGAATACCTCCTACATTATTTCCCAGTCATAGATCACATTGGGGATTTTTGCTATTGGTTTCCCAAGTAGCTTGGGCTGGCAATAGGTTTGGGTGCTTTAGTTCTAGGTGGGGCAGCATCACTTGCTTGTTGGTAACTCGTCGTCTCTCACCTGTCAGGTCTGTGCGAGAGCGGGAGAGTCACAATCGAAAGAGCGCCAGCTCCTGTGACGTCTCATCCAGCCCTTCCCTGCCCAGCCGCGCATTGCCCACCGAGGAGGTGAGGAGCCAGGCTTCTGACGACAGCTCCCTGGGCAGGAGCGCCAACATCCTGATGATCCCACACCCCCACCTGCACCAGTATGAAGTCAGCAGCTCCTTGGGCTATACCAGCACTCGAGGTCAGAGAGCTGAAGCACGGGCACAGCTGGGGACAGATGGGGACAGCTCCCTTCCTGTAGCAGGGGGTTGGGGGGGATGGGATGTGCCAGGTGTGGGGTGTAACTCCCACATCTTAATTATTTCCATGCCAGTGCAATGAGTTTAAGTCACCTGAGCTGTATGTATGTGCCTCTAACACCTTTTCCCCCTTCACTGTAACTGTATACCGTTCCTTATGTTAATGTAGAGCTTTTCTTAGGCCTCGAGTCAAAGGTGTTTGCTTATTTCCTTTTTTAAAAATTTAAAAAAAAATTTTATTTTTTTAAAGATTTTATTTACTTGAGAGAGAATGAGAGAGAGAGAGAGAGAAAGAGAGAGCGCACAGAGGCAGAGGGAGAAGCAGACTCACTGCTGAGGAGGGAGGCCAACATGGGGCTCAATCCCAGGACCCTGAGATCATGACCTGAGCTGAAGGCAGATGCCTAACTGACTGAGCCACCCAGGCGCCCTGTTTACTTATCACTGCCATTTGTGCCATCCTTAAAACAGCCTTCGCCCCATAGTCTGCTTTAAGATTTCTCCTCGCAGTTACCTGCTAACCTGGCTTGCACTAAGGAGCACAGGTGCTGCTTTCTCTGTATCTTATCCTGCCATCCAACAGCACCTGCAGCTGGAGTCTACAGGCCCCTCCTGACTTTTTAAAAAACTTTTTATTTTGAGGGCGCCTGGGTGGCTCAGATGGTTAAGCATCTGCCTTCGGCTCAGGTCATGATCCCAGGGTCCTGGGATAGAGTCCCGCATCGGGCTCCCTGCTCAGCGGGGAGCCTGCTTCTCTCTCTCTGCCTCTCTCTCTCTCTCTCATGAATAAATAAATAAAATCTTAAAAAAAAAATAAACTTTATATTTTGAGATAATTATGGATTCATGGAAAATTGCAAATTACACATGCCCCCTACACCCCCCCCCCCCCCCCCCCCCCCGCCAAGGGCGTCCTGTGTACCTTTCATTCATTTTCCCCCATGGCAACATGTTGTGTAACTACAGACAACATCAAACCCAGGAAACTGACATTGGTACAAGCCACAGAGCTTATTCAGATTTCACCAGCTTAACATGTGCTCATTTGTGCATGTGTGTTTCTGTGCCGTTTGTTTGTTTGTTTGTTTTCTAAGTAAGCACCATGCCCAACATGGGTCTTGAACTCATGACTCTGAGATCAAGTCATATGCTCTACCAACTGAGCCAGCCAGGTGCCCCCTATGCAGTTTTTACTACATGTGTAGCTTTATTTATTTATGATTATCATCATAATTAAGATACCAAACTATTCCATCACTGCAAGGCTCTTTGTGCTACCCCTTTATAGCCATAGACTCTCACTAATCATTCTCTTTCTCTATAATTTTAATTTCAAGGATGTTCTATAAATGGAAGCATAGCCCTTCTGACTTTTGATCACTGACTTAGGAATGTTGAATACACACAGCTGACCCCTTTTGCCCTCCTGGAAGGATTGTTGAAGGGTGAGGAGTGTTTTCTATGCCCCAGGATGTTGAAGAGGAAGGCATCAGCTCCAGCACCATATACACTGTGCCAAAGGCCTAGGAAAATTTTTGACAACAGAATAAAGTTCATTTGTTTTTTAACTGGCTCAAAGAATAAAAAGGAAATGCTGAAAGTGACAGGAGCAGATATTTAATTACGTGACTATAGTATATAACCTGTGTCACCTACATTAATTAGTTTTAGCATTCAAAGGAATTTTAATACATTTGAAATTTTCTAAGTTAGCTTTTTCCCACTTTCTAGAAATTTCTAAGTTTGCATGACAGTTACTCCCATTTTGCTGAAAATATTCTTAGTAGGGTCTGTAACAAAAGCTAAATTAAACTAAACGTTAATTCTTTCAAAACCCTTATTACTCTAAAAGCCAGATCTCTGAGGAAATAACATTGTAGCTTTGAAAATAGTTTTCTTAAAAATTGTCTGAATAGTAGAATTGATTTCAATGTCCTTTAGTGATATTTGGGAGTTTATTGAAAAAGCTAAAAAGCGATTCACTGGGATATTGTAAGGCAGTATAATCTCTAGGCCCTTAGTTTACTGTTTCTCTGCTGTGTTTAGGGGGTCTTAATCTATTTACCTACCCAATGTAACATAGAAAACATTTCCCCTTTCCTCTACATGTATTTTTGACCCACTATATCCCTTAGTCCTATTTCTCATCCTTTTCAAAGCATGAACTTATCTTTTCTTTTAATTGGGTTTTCTCCTTTTATTTTCATGATAACTAGACCATATTCTTTTTTATTTGGTAAACCAGAACATCAATTCATTAACAGTGAAAAATATAGCTTTCACGGAGATCTGAATGTTCTCTTGCATGCAAATCAGCTTTGAGGAATTAACTATTGCTATATACCACGTTCTTTGGTAGACATTGGCTAAATATTGGTGGACAAGACAGATTCCTTGTGCCACGGAATTTGCATCTGTTGGGCCCACTTTCGAGTGAAATCATATGGTATTTGTGTTTCTCTGACTGACTTATTTTGCTTAGTGTAATATTCTCTAGCTCCATCCATGTTGTTGCATATGGCAAGATTTCATTCTTTTTCATGGCTGAATAATATACCATTGTATGTATATACCACATCTTTCTCCATTCATCAATGCTGGATGCTTGGGCTGCTTCCATAATTTGGCTATTGTAAGTAATCCTCCTATAAACATAGAGGTGCATGTATCCCTTTGATTTAGTGTTTTTGTATTTTTTGGGTAAATACCTGGTAGTGTGATTACTACATCATAGGGTAATTCTATTTTTAATTTTTTGAGGAGCCTCCATACTCTTCTCCACAGTGGCTGCACCAGTTTGCATTCCCACCAATAGTGCAAGAGGTGGAATGAAGTTATTTAGCCCCAGCACAAAGGGGCTGTAGTCTCGTGTACCTACACATTGGCTATCTCTGCCAGGGTCTGCCCTTCTAGGCACCAAATATCTGTTTTTATTGTTCCTTCCACATATAGAATATACTCATCTATCTCCCAGGGAAAAAACTCAAGTCATTACATTGAACTCAAAGTGTAAGGTCTCCAGGTGATGTGTGGTCCTCCCTATCCGGTTTTGGGGTGGCTTCATTGGGCCAGTAATTTAGGAACCAGTAATTTAGGAACCCCCTTCTCCCAAGTATTTATTTATTTATTTAGAAAGCATGGGGGAGGGGGCAGGGGAGAGGGAGAGAGAATCCGAAGCAGGCTCCACCCCCAGCACTGAGTCATGACCTGAGCTGAAGTCAAGAGTCGGATGCTTAACTGACTGAGCCACCCAGGTGCCCCTCTCTCAAGTGTTTAAAAAGTAAATCAAATGTTGCATTTCATTATAGTTTGGTAAATGATTTTACTCATTTCTCTCACTCCCTAACGTGTGATGTCCAAGATTCTGGTCAGCTTGGCTAATTGCCTGCCTATTCCTGGTTTCACCGTGGCTCTGTACTTTCTCTTTGTGCCTCCACAATACCTGACAGATGTCCTGGAGAACATGATGGAGCCACCACAGCGAGACTCTAGTGCTCCGGGGAGGTTCCACGTAGGCAGTGCGGAGTCCATGCTGCATGTTCGACCTGGGGGATACACACCCCAGCGGGCACTGATTAACCCTTTTGCCCCCTCACGAATGCCCATGAAGCTCACATCCAACAGAAGGCGCTGGATGCACACTTTTCCTGTGGGTAAGTTGGTTGCTCAGGAAAGAGCCTGGGCTGGGAGTTACTAGTCCTGGTCCTTGTCACTAACCAACCATGTGGCCTTGGTCAAGTATCTCAACTTCTCTACACCTCCAGTGCCCTACTCATGAGATGGGGATAACCATGGCCATTCTGCCTACCCCAGGGGTTCTTGTGAGGATCCTTGAGGACACACTTGGAAAGGGCTTTGTAATTACTGAGCTGTGTAAACCTAAGGGCTTCTCATTTTTGTTTGGAAAGGACTGTACTTTGTCACCTGCTTTCTTTCTTAAGACTAATGCCCTTCATTCTTGTTCATTCCTTCCTCTCCTAGCTCTCTCTGGTAGTGATATTATTGTCTTGGTTACACAGAAGTTATGTTACTCTGTGTTTTCTCAGGGTTCTCTGACAACTGAAAAAAAAACAAAAAGTTTTTGAGAAATGGGTGAACCATTTCTTTTTTTTAGTTCGAAAAAATTAAAAAAAACACAAAGGATAAAATAAGTGGGTTCTATTTTTTATAATGAGAGGCTATACAGAAATAAAAATGAACTACAACCACATCCAAACCTATGTTTAAATTTACAAACATAATGAAAGAAGCCCGACATAAAAAAAAGTACATTCTGTATGATTCCATTTAAATGAAGTTCAAAAGCAATCAAAACTTAAAAAAATTTTTTTCTTCAAATTCACTGTTTTTCCTAGCCCGTCTTTTTTGATCTGTGTTCTCTCCTACAGAGGATGACAGTAAGGTTTTATAAAGCTGTGGCTAAAATTAAACTTCAGCTTAATGGGCTCTGACTGGGCTAGGAAGGAACAGATGCATTAAACTCCAGGGTTTTTTCATGGAAGTGATCCTGCTGAATGCCTGTGCATGTCTAGTTACTTCCTTTTCCACTTGCTTTTAGTGTTAAAAGTTAAATAAGTGAGAAATGAATCTGGTTGTTTGGGCTGTAAGGGGGGGGGGTCACTCCCAAACTCCTCTTTGCCCCCCTTCTCCCTGCCATAATCAGTCACATGATTTGTTTCTTTCCAATGTCTCTTTCCCTATGTTGTTATCCCCACAGGCTCCCTTTGGATTCTCTTACGAGAACTGTTGATGTTTCTTGTGTGACCTCCAGCTCTTCTTGCTCCCAATTGTCAGGCACACTTTACTAAAACACGACTGTCTGGCCCCACTTCCTCTGTTTCCTCCTCCTGCCCACCTGGCCTGCTCATAGTTGAGGCCATCCTTTGCCCAGTTCCCCAACTTGGCATCTCCTCGCTCCTATGCTCAGATGTTCTTCCCCAAGCTCATCTGGTGGTCTCCTGCTTGTCTTTTGCCTCCTCCACATTTGGGATTTCGCACACATTGTTTCTTCTGCCCAGGTACCCTCTCCTTCAGTTCCTGCTAACCTTGCTGAACACTCCCCTCGGAAGCTTCTCCTTCCCCAGGAAGCATTTTTTTTGGTAGATTTCACTAATCGTGATTTCTCTCCCGCCCACCCGATGTCTTTTCTGCACTTGCTCATCCTCTGCTCCTTAGAGTCACCATTGTCACCGTCTCATGTATTAACAGAGTCACTGACATTTCACTTGTGTGTTCCTTGTCGTTTAGTTTGTGTTAGCCCTCCTGGGAGGGGCCCTCTACTCCTCTACGTCAGTGTTTCTCCCCAGTGTCTCAGCTTGACACGCATGAAACAGCGGCTCCTAACGTATTCTTAGGCTGAACAGGGTGACAAATATGAGGCCCCACAGGAGGATGAGTCCTGCTCGGAAGAGGAGATGTCCTTTTGGGAAGCTGGAGGGTCATGTGTGTAATGTTCCCCTTGGTGTGCTCTCCTCTTGGTCTCTCCCAGCACGCATGTCCCAGCAGCTGGAAAGAAGGAAGAGTAAAGCTAAGTACAAAGCAGTAGCTCTTGGGTGGGAATGATGCTCAGTGGATCTTTGTCTGGGTAGGACCATCCGGAGAGGCCATCCAGATCCATCACCAGACCCGACAGAATATGGCGGAGCTGCAGGGCAGCTGGCAGAGGGACCCAACTCACTCCTCTGCAGAGCTGCTGGAATTAGCATATCATGAAGCTGCTGGAAGGTGAGGATGTGCGTAGGCCTTCAGAAGGTCCCTTGAGAAACTCCCCAGCACCCAGGACCATGGCAGAACACAGTCTGCTGACAAAATGTTATGTTTCTAAGACTTGAAGGGACGGGATGAGATCAAGCCCTTCCTTTGTCAGTGCCGTTCTTTTCACGGGGTCACATGCAAAGCAAACAGCCTGACACTGTTGCCACACATGTTACCCAGGCCCTGCTGTAGCTTTCATTCAAAGCACACTTTGTAAACCTCAAACATGAGTTTTGTCTAAACCTCAGCCAAGGGTGAGAACGAGTGCTGAGACAGGTGGTTCATGCTGCGTGTTTTGGGCAGTCTGTGACTTCTGAGAAATTCCACTGTTGAGTTTAGAAGTTTCTTATGCAAAAGCAATGGAAATCAAGGCCTGCGTTTATAGAAACAACTCTTTGAACCCAAGTTCTGAATGCGTTACAAGGCATCCAAGAGAGTCAGTGCAGGAAGAAAGTCATTTAAGCCTTGACAGACATGAGCTGGGGTGACGGCTGGCCTCACTGTTCCTGTGATGCTTTAGGAAACAACTTGGCAAAGGGCAGTCTTTGACCCCTTTTTCAATCACCTCGACATGCCATGGGTTGGATGGGATATGGGCAGGGCGTGACCCTCTTCATCAGGTTAACTTGGTACCTCTTTTCAGTCACTTCATATCCTCCTGTCCATGTGAGCAGGGGGAGGCTGAGGACAGGAAAGGGCGGGCCGCCCAATATATCAGTGGGAGAGCAGTTTTTGGGGGGCCAGGGCAGGATAAGCAGGCCACAGGAGGCCAAAGCTGGCCCACATACCGAGCATGGCAGCCTGGTAGCCTCTGATATGGCTCCCAGTTGTTGCCAGCCCATGTGGCCAGATATTCAGAGCTGTTTTTGATGAAAGCTCCTGGGATACAGGGTGAGCAGGATGAAAGAGGTGATGATCTGCATTAAGCCAGGTGGCTGGGCTCTGTTCTCTGCAGGCACAGCACTTCCCGCCAGCCTGGTGACAGCATGTCCTTCTTGAACTTCAGTGGAACAGAAGAGCTTTCTGTCAGCCTGCTTAGCAACAGTGGTGCAGGTAACCAATCCAAGAGGTAACAGAGTTGGGATGCTTAGAGTTGCAGGCTCACATCTAGAAAAGACATGGGGGCCAGAGAAGCAGGGCCAAGTCTATTTTGGGATCATTTCAGCCACAATTTTGGGTGACCTATTTAGAAGCGGTGCTGTATAATGCATGGAATTATAAATGGGCTGCACATTATGTTTTTAGCCGAGAATACATTGGTTAAGCCTCATTAATCATTGACCTGTCAGTGAGTCGTGACCAAGGGCCCCTTATGAGCTTAGTTTGGAGGGTAACACCAGGGACAGCAGGAGTGGCCTCTGATGTGGAGAAGCTTCCAGATCTGTGAGTAGGGGGCTTACCCAGCAACATAAAAACAATCAGGAGAGGCCCAGAGGGAAACAGTGTGGTTCCAGTTGTGAGATCAGAAAAGAGAAGGGTGGCGTCTGAGAAGTGGGCATGCACCTCAGACTCGAAGGCACAGAATTTGGTTACCTAGAGAATTAGCAGGTGAGGGTTCTAGGTGGAGGTGGGGAGAGTATGAACTTCTACTAACACAGGTTATATGCTTTCTGGAAGCACTTGTATATCTATCCTGTCATGCAATCATTCTAAGAGGGCATATGCTATTAAATATAATTTGCACATGAGGCAATTTAATGCCCAGAGGTGTAGAGATATTACATGAATCTCTCAAGCCCTTGGCCAGGTGTCTTGACTCAGACTGCTGTTCCTCATTTCGACCACACTGTTCAGAGTATCTTTAGGATGTAGGGGAGCAGGAGTTGGGATGGGTAAGGGCAGATTTTGGAAAGCCTCAAAGGACAGCTGCTGTTCAACATGAGTGTGAAAAACATTAAAACTTGGGGGGTGGGGCAGGGTGGAAATGGGGCTGCTCTTCTCTGTCTTAGTTTTCTATAACTAACTTGCATTTCTAAAACTTTAAGCTAAGTTTTAGTAGTAGGTGTAGTGAAAGTGAGTGGTTACGAGAGTGGTTAATGAAGAATTCTTTCATTCATTGGTTGCTTCATCAAACAGTATTTCTAAAGGTTTGTGGCTAAGTCTTGAAAAGCAGTTGGTAGTAAATGAATCCCTAAAGGATTATAATTAATTCATTTCTTTCCTCCTTCCCTCCTTCCTTTCTTTTCTATCTCTGTTTCTTTCTTTTATTCTTTCTCTTTAAATGAGAACACGAATTGAGTAACAATTTGGGGATAAGATACTTTTAATGACTGCACTCAGGGTTCTGAAAATGTCACTTGGCTGCCAGACTCCTGTAAAGTGCCTTCAGAATATCATAAAGGCAACCTTTCCATTTTGTTAATAAACCAAGGGGCCATTTTATAGGAACCCAGACTTTGAACTTCCCAGGCTGTTTGGGGTGGGTTGTACCAAGGAGGGCTGCTCTGGGGCTCGCAAGACTACAGTTTGAGCTAGTTTTACTGGTGACCTGAAGCAGGGGATTCTGGGTTCCAGTGGTAACAGCACTAGTATTTACCCTGACTAGTCCTGGAGTGGTTCTGGGCCTGGGATAGCTAAGGTAGACCAGATGATTCCTCAGAAGATGAGTCTTTTGGAATTTTGAAATCTACTTTGAGGAAAAAAGGAAGTTTCAAAGAATCCTTATTTGGGGATGGTTGTGGAAAATCCTCTAATGACACCATCACGCTTACGCCATAGATCCATGCATCTGATGGGCCTCTCTGCTTGGATGACTCCGGAGGACCTCATCCTTAGTGTACTGACAACGAAAATCATGTCTTGTGGTTCCCCCACCCCCTCTCCCTCTTCTGTTCCCTCTTTCTTCTGACTCTGGCCCCTCCCCTCCATTCTCAACTGTCACTGCTTTGTTTCAGACCCCTGTCATTTCTGGCCAGGATTGTGATAGCAGCCTTCTAAGTGATCTTCCTGCTTCTGTTCCTATCCCCTCTGATTCATCTTCCATACTGTCACCAAGGAGATAGTTCCAAATGCAAATCTGATCAGCCACTCCTCCCCATGTATAAAACCCTCCCGTGGTTCATGGCCTATAATACTGGTCATTGCCTGTCTCCTGCCTGCCTTGTGTCTTCATTTGCCACCACATCCACACATCACTGCACGGAGAAAGAACTCAGGCTGTAGACTCTTTGGATGTGAGTCCTGACTCCACTTCTAATGAGCAGTGAGGCCCTCAGGCCAGGTAACCTCTGTGTGTCTCACTTTCATCATCTGTATCATTCGATGTGATAAACCACGTAAGGTGCTTGGAATGGTGCCTGGCGTGCACGGGGCGTGCTCGCTGAACGAGAGCTGCCACTGCCGGGTATGTTATGAGATGTGCATATGCTACATTCCAGCTATTGCTTGTGGCTCCTCTGAAGATCTTTGTCCTCTTATTCCTTTGCATGGACTAGTCCCCCTGCAGAATATGCTTTTCCCTTACCTTCAACCCTCGTTCTTCCTGGCAGACATCAGCTCATTCTTTATGATTCAAGCCCAACAATACCTTATCTTTGAAGCCCTCCCTGATGGTTCTCTCTCATCGCCAGGCCTTCCCAGGAGATGGTAGGCATGTTTCCACAGAGCTCCATATGCATAATGCAATTGTACTACTTGGCATATCATGATCCCGCTGTTTGTTTCTATGTCTGTCTCTGCACTAGACTGAGAGAGCTTATCTTTATTCATCTTCTCCCCACAGTGTTTTACACATTTATTGACAAATGAATTTGTGCTTCCACGACCAAGCTGCCATATGTGAGAAGCATTTGAACAGTCCACAAAATTATTCTCTTTAATTGGTATGCAAGTGCACAATTACATAAATATGTTCTAGAATATGTAGCTTCTTAGAGAAGGTGTGGGCTCCTTGGATTCTTTTTCTAGTCAGGGTGAGAGCGTTAAGTAGGATCATCCTTACCTTTGCCCAGTCCCTTTACAACCAGTAGCATGTGTTTTCAAAGGGGCCAGGGGTCATCAGGAGGTAGGTTGTAGCATTGGGCTCCCATAGGACTTGAACTCCCATCTTCTATCTTTTTTTTTTTTTTAATTTTATTTATTTATTTGAGACAGAGAGAATGAGAGACAGAGAGCATGAGAGGGAGGAAGGTCAGAGGGAGAAGCAGACTCCCTGCTGAGCAGGGAGCCCGATGCGGGACTCGATCCCAGGACTCCAGGATCATGACCTGAGCCGAAGGCAGTCGCTTAACCAACTGAGCCACCCAGGCGCCCCCTCCCATCTTCTATCTTGTGCTTCCTGATCAATTATGTTAGCCAGCCACAGAAAGGATTAGGTAAAAATCACTCCAATTTTTATTACCATGTACAATAACCAATTAATGTCAGAGCTATCAGGATATATCTCTAATCTTTCCATATATGTCATCACCTCCACTAGCCCCAGCCCTGTCCAAGATACCTTCCTCTTTTGCTTGGATTGTTGCAGTATCCCACAAACTGTTCTTTCAGCTTCCTTCTTTTGTCCTTTCATGTAGTTTATTTCCAGCACAGCAGTTCTTTGTGACCCTCTGAAAATAGAAGTCAGATCATGAAAATTCTGTGCACAGAACCCTCTGGGGCTTCCCAGTGCACCCGGATTAAAGGCCGAAGGTGTTACAGTAGCCGACAGAGCCCCCTGCCTCTTGCGACCCCTTTGTTACTCTCAGATCTCATCTCCTGCTTCCCCCTCGCACTTGGGTGAAGTGGTTTCCCAAATGTATCAGGTACATTCTGCACCTGAGGTGCTTTCTCTTGCTCTGTGCTCTGCTCTGCCCTCACAGCGAAGAGCTTTATGGATAAGGTGCACATGTTGAGTTTGCCCAGGACAGTCCTGGTTTGAATTCATTGTCCTGTATAATTACTAATAGTGTCCCCTTTCACTCTTGAAGGTGTCCTGGATGATAAATGATATGGCCATCCTACCCACAGCCTGTTCTATTCCTTCCTTTAGGTCTTACCCAAATTGCCACTCTTTACCCTGGCACTCCCCATCCATCTTCCCTGCCAGTTATTTCTCCAGAATACCACCTGTCATACTAGTTCTTTTCATTTTGTATTTTTTATTGTAAGCTCCAACAAGGCAAGGATTGTTTCACTCATGGCTGTATCTTCAGAACTTAAAACAGTTCCTGGCACATATCAGGTATTTGAATGAATACTAAAAGCTTTCTGAGGTTAGCGTTCCCTCCACTGAAGAATGCTTTTCTTCCCTGTCTTATAACCTTGTTGAACAATTAACTGGATTCCTTTTCTCAAAGGCTTGGATAATCTTTTTCTGCCTTGCTTGTTTTTGAAGTGACTTTCCTTTCAAGCCATGCTCAATCTTCATGGAATATGGTTTGCTTTCTTCAAACTCACTATACTCTTAGCCATTCCAGAAATGTTTATGGAACTGTAGGCACTGTGCTAAGGCCTGAGAAGAAACAAAACGATTAAGATACCAGTTCTCACCTCAGGGAGCTCTGGCTCGCCATTCACTTGCAGTTCTATTTGAAGCAGTTTTGTGCAGGGTCACAACAATGAAAGGGAAGCCTTCTTGTGGGGAGCTCGACTTAGTGGTTACTGTGCAGTTTGAACATGTGACCTCTGCTACATTCTGATATGATAGATGGGGGAGTGCCCCAGCCCTAGAGTTTAGCCTTCAACCTTTGCTGATGCTCAGGTTCATCATCTTATAAAGGGGATAAAGATCTTTACCTGCCTGCCTGCCTCACAGGGTTGTTGTAAGGAGCAAAGGTAGATTGGGCTCCTTAAGGGCAAAATTGTCACAGTAGGTTCTCATTTGGGGACAAAGTGGGGTCTAAATGAGCAACTAGTTATCTTTTCATTCATTAAAAAATAGAAAAGAGGGACGCCTGAGTGGCTCAGTCGGTTAAGCATCTGCCTTCCGCTCAGGTCATGATCCCAGGATCCTGGGATTGAGCCCCACGTTGGGCTCCCTGCTCAGCCGGGGAGTCTGCTTCTCCCTCTCCCCCTGCTCATGCTCTCTCTTTCACTCGCTCTCTTTCAAATAAATAAATAAAATCTTAAAAAAA